CAGATACATCCTAATACAGGGCAACATTAACGATATGCAGTACACAATAGTAAACATATACTCGCCCAACACGAACCAACGGAATTTCCTCCAGAGCATCCTCAAAAAAACAAACAGCAAACAACAGGGAATCACAATAATATGCGGAGATTTCAATCACATTTTAGATCCCAAATTAGATACCACACTTCCACAACACAGACAGCGCCCACTTAAAAGACAATGTAAAGCCCTACAGAAACTCATGCATGAATATCACTTCTATGATGCATGGAGGATCTTACACCCGGGGGACAAATCATTCACCCATTTCTCAAACGTCCATAACTCCTACTCCTGAATAGACGGGTATCTCATTTCGGGACCGCACATAAACCAAATACACGCTTGTGAAATCCAGCAAATCACATGGTCCGACCATGCCCCAGTGACCCTTGACATGAAAAACCTATATGACTTTAAACACCGAAGTCCCTGGAAGCTGAATGACACACTACTCCAAAACAAAGAACGCACAGCAGAATTCACAGCAGACCTAAAATCATACTTCACTCTGAATGACAATAGAGAGGTGACACCGATTACTACATGGCAGACACACAAGACGGTAATCAGGGGCTTGTTAATTAGGAAGGCAATTTACCTCAAGAAACAGGCACAAGCCAAATTAAAAGCGTGGCAACAGGAATTATATGATCTAAACACGAGTAACCAAACACAACCGACAGCAGAAAAACAACATCGCATCACGACCATTTCTAGACTGATACACCAACAAGCATTATAACAAACATGAAACAACATGACCAAACTCAAAATATCCCACTACATGCCGGGAAACAAAGCGACAAAGCTCCTAGCTAACCAACTGAAACAGAAACAGACTAACCAAAAAATAGCCTAACAGACAACAAAGGCAAAAAATACACCACATCTAGAGAAATAAGCGAAGAATTCGCAAAATACTATCACGCCCTGTACAACCTAAAAGGGGACCAAAGCACAACTCAACCCACGGACGCAAGCACAAAGGCCTACCTAGACAAAATTAAGCTACCACAACTCACACCGCAACAACAGGCGGATTTAACCAAACCCATAGAAGCACAGGAGATTCTCAAAGTCATACAAACACTACCAAACAGCAAAGCACCAGGCCCAGATGGTCTAACAAACCTATACTACAAAACATTTAGCCATACGTTAGCACCATACCTAACAAAGGCCTTCAATCATGCAGTAAATACGAAATCTCTACCTAAAGAGATGATGTTGGCGCACATCGTCATACTGCCCAAACCAAACAAACCCCCCACGAAGCCGCAAAACTTTAGACCCATCTCACTCCTAAACACAGACGCGAAAATATTCGCCAAACTACACGCCACAAGACTGGGACAAATCATACCACACATAATTCATACAGACCAAGTGGGCTTCCTGAGGCGAAGACAAGGGGCTGACAACACGAGGAAAGCCATAAACCTGCTATACAAACTACAAACACAAAAAACAGGAGGCTTATTTGTGTCATTAGACGCTGAAAAAGCCTTCGATAGACTACACTGGGGCTTTCTGAAGGCGGTCTTAGGAAAATTCGGAATACCATCTAGGCGCTATACGGCAGAGCTCTGAGTAGCTCTGCAAAGTGTGAGTGAGTCTTTTATAAACTTTTATATACTCTTATTTCACTTGACATATTGCACTATTATTGTTCTGTACTTTTTTGCCTTGAAGGTTTCATACATTCCTAATTAGAGGATTCTCTGTATGTATATATTTTAATTATTATTTGCACTGTTTGGCCGCGGTTTACCACTTTTGTCTCTTTTGTTTTACTACTGTGAGCAGGTATTGGGAATTCCTGCTTGGTTCACTGCTGCCCACCTTCAGTTTATTTAGTGAGCGCCTAACTCCTCTTTGTTAAAAACACATATAAGGCAGGACTCTTCGCAGACGACATCATGCTGACCATCACACAACCACACATTTCACTACCCAACCTTCTCGCCGAAATCAAGGAGTACGGGGAACAATCATACTATAAATTGAATGTCACCAAAACACAAGCCATGGGGATAGGGGTGCAGAGAGCCACACTAGACAAATTGAAAGCAAACTTCCAATTCGACTGGAGAGAAGATTACATTACCTTTCTAGGATTAAAACTACCCAAACACCCCAATAAACTACTTGAGCTAAACTATTGCAAGCTCATAAAGGAAGCGGGGGAAACACTGAAGGGTTGGGAACACAAATACCTGTCATGGGTGGGTAGACTGACGGCCCTAAAAATGGTAGTTCTACCCAAATTCCAATATCTAATAAGGACACTTCAGATCTTCCTCCCAAACACGTATCTAAACAAACTGCAACGCCTATTCACATCATTCGTCTGGGCACACAAAAAAATAAGGGTGGCCTCCGCACTTCTGAGCAAACCCATAACCCAAGGGGGCCTGGGTCTACCAGACGTATGCCTTTACTACAGGGCTGCCCTCATGTCAACAAACATCTCCATGCACGAAGCAGAAAATAAGCCTCAATGGGTAGAGATGGAGGCGACAGGGATATACTCTGGAGGTATAAAATACTTGCTCTGGGTGCCCCACAAACTAAGGCCCAAACACAAAGAACTGCTCTCGACCACCTCCCTACTCCTAGACACATGGCATTCAACAATGCAACTCTTAGGCCAGAAAAAACACTGGACTATGTCAACCCCACTACAAAGTCTACACATTGTGAACCCCTCCCTAGACCACCGCCCATGGACCCAACAAGGATGCACACACATCAAACACCTATATCGAGAGGGCAAACTAGAACCATACCCCACGCTAAAACTGAAATATCGTCTGCCCAATAACACTTTATTTACATACCTCCAAATAAAATCACTTCTGGAGAACGAAACCAACACAACTACACCTAAGCCCCTAGAACAACTATACCAAATATGCAACAAAGGGAAAGTCCCAAAAAAAACACTCTCCATCCTATACACAACGTTGAACGATAACCCCAAAATAAAGCCAGCAGAACACTTTAAAGAGCACTGGCACACGGACCTACACAAACATTTCACCGACAGCCAATGGCAAAAAGCTTTCACCGCCCACAAAGGGAGATCTAGATGTGCATCACACCTGGAGCTCCTGAGGCAATTACAGTATAGGTGGTATATGGTGCCGACTAGACTGGCGCAAATGTATCCACATGCATCCAAAGAATGTTGGAGATGTAAGACAGAGGAGGGGTCCATGTACCACATATGGTGGACATACAGCCTGATAAAACCTTTCTGGAAAGAGGTGGGAGAAATCGTTGAGGAAACACTATACACGGGTACGCCCCTACAACCCGAATGTGGGTTACTGTTTATGACACTAGAGCTGCACAAAAAACCACAAGCGACACTTCTATTCCACATACTAATAACAGCAAACACACTGATCGCAAGGGCCTGGAAACAGACCACCAAACCCCGAAAAAAAGAACTACTATCTCAATTCTCTACTAACCTACTGTACGAGACAACAATGAACGCCCAATTTGGGACTTCTACACACGCAATCAAAGCCAGAGAAAGATGGGAAGAGGTTTTGGGAGAGCACGAATCACACAAAATATAGGGACTTAAAGCAGGAAGACACACAGGGGGTTGCGACAGCGTAACGAGGGGTAGGGAGAAAAGAGGAACAAAATAAGGGTAAACCACAAGGACACAACAAAGGGAAAACCTGAGGAGACACACACGCACACACATACATACCATAAACGCAAGGAGCAGAGCGCGAGTAAGGAAAATGATGTAAGGGTACCAACTTGTAAATAATTATTGTAAATAGTTAAGGCAAATAGTTAAGGCAGAATGTAATACTATCTCTCTGCTAAGTTGTAACCCCTCCCTGGGGAAATCGGAATATGCAATGAAAAAGTTACTGTACATAAATGAGAGATGAACGATTCCCCACCACCACCACCTCTCTCCTTTCTGTACCCCATAACACAAAAATGTTAAATTAAGAAAAATAAGCCAGTTAACAAATAAAAATGCCTAAATGTTTATAAGCATATACAACAAAGACCAAGGAGTCCACTAGATTATGACCATCACCATTACTACCCTATTATCAACTAGGGGTATAGCTGAAGTTTAGGAATGGAAATGTTTTATGACATATAATGGTGTAGCACAATAGTATGTGTATGTTTTGTTTGGGTTTTAGTGTTCTAAAAGTGTAAAGTGAAAAATAAAATAACTAAAACAAAGGTGCCATATAAATACTTACATATCTTTACAGAGGATTCAGAGGATTCAGATGTCAAAAAGAAATAAAATGTGACAGTTTATCATTAACACCGCCTTTGTTCCTAATAAACTAAGAGATACCAACAAAAAATAAATAATGTTAATGTTATATCTTGATTTTGTACATATGTCCTTCGCAGACATTTCTGGGGTGAAAAGTATTAGATATTTTATAACCCTGTCACGGGTCAATGTACAGCATGTCTAAGTGTCATAACATTCTGAACATAATCACTTATTCCCCTACACCCTTTTCTTTTCTGTAACCCTTTATGTTTTGACTATCAAAATAAAAATTGTCAAATTGGAAAAAAACAAAAACAAAGATAGTGTGAGCGCTCCAGCAATAAAAAAAAATAAAAAATGGGTCATGCACATAATAAAATATCAGATGGGTGTGCAAGATAAAAAGGTACACAAGGTGACTCTGATAATTGTTGCATTCTGTATGTAAAGATCAAAAAGCAGTCAGCGCCAAATAGAAAAGATTCACATTGCAACAAAGTTACCAAAACAAACAGTAACAATCTGATCAGAACAGTTAAATAGAGCCCAACTAAAACAAAAAATGGGGCATATCAACTAGTAGTGAAAAGGATTGTGGGGGAAAAAAAGTGTACATAAAACTCAAATACACAGTCACTAGAAAGCATGAACATAAAAGCTGCAGCACTGCTCTAAAATAATGAAATATAATAAAACAAAAGACTACAAGTCTGTGTAAAAAAACAATAACATACACTCAAGTGCACACTGACACCCAGATACAAACAAACACAAAGATACACACATTGATAGATACACAGACACAAACACAGATACACACAGGTCCACACTGACACCCAGATACAAACAAACACAAAGATACACACACTGATAGATACACAGACACAAACACAGATACACACACTGATAGATACACAAACACAGATACACACACTGATAGATACGCAGATACAAACACACATACACATACACACTGACACTTTTTTTTAAACCACCCTCCTGTTTCTTAACTTTTGGCTGCAGGAGGGTGGACTCTGCTGGCTGGGGCTGATGGGAGTCTGGCTCTCTCTCCTCCTCTCACTCCCCAGTGCTTCCTCCCGCGAGGGTGTTAGCTGGGAGGAAGTGAGCTCACTTCCTCCCAGCACTGCCAGGATCCTTAAAGGGGCCCAGTCTAGCTATTGGAAATCCACAGCACTGATCGGGCCACTTTAGAGATATGCCCATCGGGTGGCCCTAAGTGCATGGACCACCCGATGGGCGCCCTCAGGTAGTTCTGCCACTGCCAAAACACATATATATAGCAATACTTGCTATATATATGGGTGTGCACATTGGGAATAGGGGCCTGGGTGCATGGGCCCCCCAGGACCGCAGGGACCATGACACCCCCTGATGGCGGCGCTGCACACACAGACACATATGCAGATACACAGATAGACACACATACAGATACACAGGTGTAGACATGTAGATACACTAACACACACTGACACACATACAGATACACAGGAACAGACATGCAGATACACAAACACACTTACACATATACAGATACACAGGGGGACAAATGCACACAAGCTTGATAAAGACCTGAAAGGGTCGAAATGTTGCTGCTTTTGCTCCAATAAAGCTGCTATTTTTTGTTATCCCAAAGTGCCTGAACCATTATTTATTCTACAAATGCACACAATGAAACACAAGCAAATACATAGACACACACTAATACACATACAGCTACACAGACACACAGATACAGACACACATGCCGATACACAGACACACACAATAACACACATGCAGATACACAGACACACAGATACACACAAAGACACTCTTACAGATACAAACACTGACACACATACAGATACACAGATACAAAGGGGCACACATTGACACACAGATGCACATACAGACACACAGATAACACACACACAGAAAAGACATACACACATACAAAGAGATAAAACATACACACATTAAATATACACAGATAAGACATACACAAACACACACACAGATATGACAAGAAATACACACACATACACACAGATAAGACATGCACACACAGATCACATTACATATTTTTAGCCATCTCCCTGCCTCCTTACCTTTTTGGTGCAGGAGGGTGGCTTCTCTGGGGTCCAGTGGCTTCTGGCTGAGTGTGATGGAGGTCTGGTCCAGGCTCTTCCTCTTCTATGTTGTCCTGGCTTTCAGTTTTCCTCCTTTCTATTGTGCTTTTCTACTCCCATATGGTTCATTGGTAAGCTGGGAGGAAATTTTACTCACTTCCTTCCAGCACCACGGCATTGCACTAAGCAGGGAGCCTGGGCTGATCGCGTTGTTAAAGAGCTGCAGCAACTGACCAGGACCCTCATCAAAGATGGCCATCAGGTGACCCTAAGTGCATGGACCACCTGATGGGCCCCTTCAGCTGGTGGGGCTGCACCGGCCATATTTCTGCCACTGTACTAAAAGAAAGCACAATATATCCATGTAAATACCCTTGCTTCATATCACTGCATTCCAGTGAGCTAGAGGTGATGTGAAGAATGCAGGATGATTGGATCAATCTCTGAGTTCCATTACAGATCACTGAGATCAGAATGCTGTAACATGCATTCACCATGCCCAGCGTATGAAAACTACATAAAGGTCCACTATAGTGCCAGGAAAACAAACTCGTCTTCCTGGCACTATAGTGCCCTGAGAGTGCCCCCACCCTCATGGCCCCCCTCCCGCCGGGCTGAAGTTCGAGGAAGGGGATAAATTCTTACCTTTCTCTCCTCCTCCTTTGGACGTCATCGGCTGAATGCGCATGCACGGCAAGAGCCGCGCGCGCATTCAGTCAGTCCATAGGAAAGCATTACTCAATGCTTTCCTATGGACGCTGGCGTCTTCTCACTGTGAAAATCACAGTGAGAAGCGCGGAAGCGCCTCTAACAGCTGTCAATGAGACAGCCACTAGAGGCTGGATTAACCCATAGGTAAACATAGCAGTTTCTCTGAAACTGCTATGTTTACATCTGCAGGGTTAACCCTAGAGGGACCTGGCACCCAGACCACTTAATTGAGCTGAAGTGGTCTGGGTGCCTATAGTGGTCCTTTAACACCTCTAATGGAAGGTTAGCTAAATATTTTAGAATGCAGTGGTTTTTCTATGACTCCTTTCTCTTGCACCTAAAGGGTTAAACATAATCCTGTTAGATTTGCTTGTTGCTTAAACTACAAACCAGCAAGTAAAATCATTCTATCCATTAATCATGCTGTTTCTCCCTACTGCTGTTAAAGATTTGAAGTTTCCATATCCCCTAATAGTATGCAATTCCTCTAATATGATTAATTTGTTTTATTTGCCCGCCCAACAGAAATTTTATAACAAGATAATTTACTGTTAACCACTTATCCACATACGTACTTCACAATCTAATCCCAAAATATCCTTCCAGTACAGATAATCTTTGAGTTTATACCTAGGCTTTGTGTGATATCTATTAAAACCAGGGGCAGATCCAGATGCCAATTTGTTAAATATCATGTATTAATTATATAATATATGTTATATATTATATTTTTGTGGGCATGGGCTGTGCGAACCATGTTTTTTTTAATGGAAACCAAACAATTTGCATTTTAATAGTAATTTCGGAGACTCATCAAAAATGTGTGTGATGAGGGAGTGGGAGGAATTGGAAGGAAAGGAGAAACAGCAGATTTAAACACATTTTTTGCATCAAAGGGTGCAGAACAAAGTAACAGAAAACAAAAACAAAACAAAGCCACTGTCACGTCATAGCCTTCAAACTTCATTGTGCTCTGTTCCATTTCTTTCATTATTTACTTTTGGTAAGTAGCAGGCGGAGGCAACTAACATGGACTGTTAAAAATATCAGAATAACTTTATTATAGCTTTATGGCTTCAAAAAATTGTGTGTTGATTTTGTCTTGCTTATGTACTATATATGATATGTGATATGTAATCACAACAGCAAGATAGCATGTACAGATAACAGCTGATACTAAGGTGATTTGTCCACCTACATATTTTAATAAAGGTTTGAGGGTTCTAACTAAATCTCCTGGAATAATATACTGAAAAGTTGGCAATCCTATGGGGCCCTATATTCATGGGGTCCCTGAGCAACTGTCTAGTGTGCCCATGCACTAATATGGCTCTGTGCTGGTGACATAGAATTCAAATCCAGGATTGAGTGACAGAGGAGAGCAGGAGAACCCTCGTACAGGCAGTTCTCTTATTCCCTGTCACATACTCCCCTATAGTAACTCCTGCTAAAAGACCCCTGCTTGAAGACATTGTGATATTAAATGTCTTACAAGTCTACACTATCCTTGATGTATAGGGGCTGTGTGAAAGAATAGTTATATAGTTAAGCAATACTATGGTGTCAGGAATACAAACATCTATTCCTGACACTATAGGTCTAAATGTGCTGTTTAGATTTCCGGCCCACTGTCAGCAAGGTAAAAGGTGAGTTTACAAGGGACGTCCTGCAGCTGGCTCCGCACCTACATCAAAGATCATCAGACTTCATAAACTCAGCCAATCCAATGCTTTTGCATTGGGAGGCCATCATGCATGTGCGCAAAACACAGCACTGCGTTAATCAGTAGCTCCTCAATCATCTCCTTCAGCATCTCTTGAATCAATGCATCTCTATGAGGAATGTTCAGTGCCTCTATTCAAAGCGTGGAGACCTAGAATGTCAGTTCTGCACACTGTGCAACAATGAACCAGGAAGTACATCTAGTTGCCATCTTAGTGACTTAGTTACTAGGCAGTAATATAAAAACTGCCTTTTCTTTGAAAAGACAGTGTTCAATTTAAAAAGCCTGCAAGGAAATACATTCAGGTGTAGTTGTTCTGGTGACTATAGTGTCCCTTTAATATTACTATTTACCAACTGATTACCGTAGAGAGTAACAGTCGGTCGCAATCTGGTGCCAATGAATATTTTCACTAACTTCCGGCACACACCAACAAATTGCCCCATAACAAAGATTTGCCTAAAAATTAGCTTGGTTGTTGACAAGGATGGTTTTGCTTTCATGAGGTTAATGTGATTTGGTAAACCTCTAAGCCAGTGATGACGAACCTGTGGCACGCCAGACCCTCTCTGTGGGCACACGGCCGTAGGTCGCCGGGGGAGGGGGCCACTGGCTGTCTGCATCAATGTACTCAGCTCCCCTAACCCCCCCACACACAGCACCCCTAACCCCCCCCGTATCTTTACACCTACACCCCCACACACAGCACCACTAACCCCCACACACAGCACCCCTAACCCCCCACACACCACCCCTAATCCCCCCACACCACCCCTAATCCCCCCACACACAGTACCCCTAACCACCCATACACAGCACTTCTACCCCCCCATACAGCTCTTCTACCCCCCCTCACACAGTTCTTCTACCCCCCTCACACAGACACACAGCATCCCTCACACACAGCACCCTTCACACACACACCCTCCACACCCTTACACACAAACACATACACTGCACCCCTTAATGCAGTATGTGTGTGTATATTCAGCAGTCTGTATGTATTCAGCAGTCTGTATGTGTGCGTATGTATGCAGCAGACTGTATGTGTGCGTATGTATGCAGCAGACTGTATGTGTGCGTATTTATGCAGCAGACTGTATGTGTGTGTATGTATGCAGCAGACTGTATGTATTAAGCATTCTGTGTGTACTCAGCAGTGTGTGTACTCAGCAGACTGTGTGTGTACTCAGCAGACTGTGTGTGTCCTCCCACGAGCAATCTGTGTGGAGCGTTGCAGCGCGTTACTATGGCTACGCTCCACACAGCATCGTGCGGGAGGACAGGAGAGCTGCTTCCCTGTCCCATACTTACCACCTCCGGACCACCAGGGATGGCTGCTCCCCCCTCCTCCCCTTCCTTCACCAAAGGTAAGAAGAAGGAAGGGGGGATACAGATTTAACATTTATTTTTTATGTATCTTTACACCTACACCCCCCCACACACAGCACCCCTAACCCCCCCACACACCACCCCTAATCCCCCCACACACAGTACCCCTAACCACCCATACACAGCACTTCTACCCCCCCATACAGCTCTTCTACCCCCCCTCACACAGTTCTTCTACCCCCCTCACACAGACACACAGCATCCCTCACACACAGCACCCTTCACACACACACCCTCCACACCCTTACACACAAACACATACACTGCACCACTTAATGCAGTATGTGTGTGTATATTCAGCAGTCTGTATGTATTCAGCAGTCTGTATGTATTCAGCAGACTGTATGTGTGCGTATGTATGCAGCAGACTGTATGTGTGTGTATGTATGCAGCAGACTGTATGTATTAAGCATTCTGTGTGTACTCAGCAGTGTGTGTACTCAGCAGACTGTGTGTGTACTCAGAAGACTGTGTGTGTACTCAGCAGACCGTGTGTGTATTCAGCGGACTGTGTGCGTGTGTGTATTCAGCGGACTGTGTGTGGGTGTGTGTGTGTATTCAGCGGACTGTGTGTGTGTGTGTGTGTATATATTCAGCGGACTGTGTGTGTATTCAGCGGACTGTGTGTGTTTTCAGCGGAGTATGTGTGTGTGTATTCAGCAGACTGTGTGTGTGTGTGTGTGTGTTGCATTTGTTGGAGATACTAATAAATATAAGCTTAATTTTATCTATTTATATCATTATTTAAAATTTGTATAATTGAACTCTCTGTTGTTGTGTTCTTTTAAAACAAAAGTTGTTAATTAGTTCGGACATCTGTACGAGTTGTTTTTTCTAAACTTAAACCTCAGTATTCAGGTTTAATTTCCGTGTTGGCACTTTGAGGGAAAAAAAGTTGTATTGCGGTTTGGGCACTCAGGTTTAAAAAGGTTCGCCATCACTGCTATAAGCTGCCCCAAATGGACCCTGGAAATTAGTTGTTTAGCAAATGGTCTAAATTGAAATGGGTGCATGCCTAGTTTAGCTATGAAACATGACAAACATCTATATAGGAAACTTTGCTGTGTGCAAAGGATGTAGTGGGATGGTTATATATATTTATGATTTTTGCTTTTATGTTCTGGTTTTGCTTTCTGTGACTGACATTAAACTTGTTGGCCAAGGATACCAAACTGTGAAAAAGACTTTCTTTGAAATAGCAATGAACTACTTATTGCATCCAAAATTACAATAGCTAAAACTTTGGAAGACATGTTGTAGATTTTGGTCATGCTCAGTGGTGATAATTATGTATGTATCCCTTAAATCACATACCGTAATCTCTGCAATCACAACATAGAACTAGGTGGGAGATTACATATGACATTAGCCTTCGTTATTGATGGATAAAATGAATGGCAGACCTAGGTGATTGAAGCATACTAAAGGGGAACTGCAGGATTATAGCATTATTTCACATACAAATGTTTGTCAGGTAAAAAGTCACACTGCTGTATTTACCTCTATCTTGGATAAACTTTCTTATAAAGTGATCAACAATATTGTAGCAAATGTATTATGTGATGAGCCTTAAGTCAAAATGATGGTACATGTCAAATTTTTAACGTTATTAATTATTAAGTCAATTATATGATGCTTGGTTTTTAAAGCGGCGTCATGGTAACAGCAATTTGGGTGCGGCAAGACTGATCTGGATTGTGATGTTGTTTGCTAAATCATTAAAATGCCTTTAATATACATGTTTAAATAAAATGGAGCTCAATAAAAAAAATAAAAAAAAATAAAAATAAAGGATAATACAACATATAGCTGATCAATAGTGTTATTTCCAGACGATTGACGATTACTCATTAACCCCTTAAGGACACATGACATGTGTGACATGTCACGATTCCCTTTTGTTCCAGAAGTTTGGTCCTTAAGGGGTTAACCATCACTACAAAATTAAACCTGAAATTCACCAGAAATTTTTAGGAATTTTTTAATTAAAACTGTATTTGACCAACCTGTTTAAAAGAGAAATATGAGCAAACATTTGACTAACATAGTGAAAAGGTAAAAACAAAAAATAGATTTTGTCTTAGGTGGAAATATCAGTCCATAATGTGTTAAAGATAACTTGTTACAGGTGTCATTCAACAGTCTTTCCCTAAATAGCAAGACAACTCAAGAAGCAAACAATGAAACGTTAATGCTTGCCACTGTTTGAACGTCATATAAAATATTCATATTTGGCAGATGTAATGGAACCGAGTGAATCCTTTGTTTTGAATAAATCTACAAAATTACTGCCAGTATTGACACGGTTAACCTCGTGTGCGGATATAGTGGGTGGGGTCTTGCTGCTTCTGTCCTTGCAGGCAAATTGTATGTACTTTCACTCTGTTGCCAACATGTCTGAAGATACAGTTCTGCTTGCTGCAGTTTCATTGCTGTTTGCCTGTCAGCAAGGTAAGGCCGGGGTTAAAGAGATTATGACTCGTTTCAACCGTCTAAACATTAGATATTATTTGCTTAGAGCTATTCACTGTGTATTTTTTCTTTATCAATTTAATTTTGTTCTTTTAAATCTGCATTTAAAGCATGTCTGGATGGAAATGCCTTAATGCACTGTAATTGTCATTTAATTGAAGTGGTTATAGTGTCTGGCACATTCCTTCTGTTCAGTGTAAAACTTTTTTTAATGTTTTAGTGGTAAACGAGAGTCCCCAGCAACCTATTCCCTCGGGACTGTTTAGGGTAGTGAGGAAGCATTAGCCTAAGCAGCAATGGGTGTTCTGATCACAGTATGAATTGGTGTGTGGTAGTATGAATTGGTGTGTGGCAAAAAGTGTAATCTCTGCCCGAGCCATTTCTCCAATAAGGGCTGGGCTGTATGTGGCCAAGGACTTTTATTTCCTAGTACTTGAAAAACAGTTTAACACTGAATGGATAGGCAGTGCCAGGGGAGTCCAGCCAGTTTAACCAAATCATTAAGATTAAATGTTTTATAGTGTCTACAGTGTCCCTTTAAGATCCATGATTCCACTTGTTTCAAGTGAGTGCACATGCACACATATGACTTAACAGGAATAGGTGTGAGAAGATGGTGCTTTGGAACTTGCATGTTTTAGACCAAGATCTCCATTGAGGATTGAAACATTGCCGGATCCACATGTAATTAAATAAAAATCCAGTTGAATTAAGTGTAGCGTACGCATCATTATTTTCATGTCTTTTAAGGGCTGGAGGGAGCTTTGGCCAATTCACCCTTCAAAACCACTCTATTTCCAATAACTCCTTTAGAAGATGACCCTTTAACCCCTTAAGACACGTGACATGTCATGATTCCCTTTTATTCCAGAAGTTTGGTCCTTAGGGGTTAAAGGGACACACAACACCATTACCTTTACAGATTATTGCAGTAGTTATGGTTCCCGGTGTCTTTGGAATAGTTTGACAAAAAATGGGCCCAAGTTACCCCAGCATTTTACAGCCAAATGGATATGTATGGATAATGTGAATGCTATCATCTCAGAAGCAGCGTAGACAGTGGGAATCGAGCGAGGTCTTACTGTCACACCTCTTAAGAACAAACCCAAAAACTTCTTGCATTATAAGCTAAGCTGTAGTTGTTAGGGAGCGTAGAGTGTGCCTTTAAAATTCGACAACCCCAGGCAGCAATCTGACTCCAACATTTAATAGAAGTTGTACTGTTTTTTTTTTTTTTTGTTTGTTTTACATGTAACTGTCCTGTTACTGTCTTGAATAATGTGAGCCTTTAGACAGTAAATTTTATAGAACATATTTAAACCTGCACTCTATTAATATTACCTACTTCCTTTTCACAACTTCTACTTTAAGTATATATTAGCCCTTCTCCATGTGAGAGAAAGAGGAACACCAAAAACTACATTTCTCTGCAAGTGTTTTCTTATAAATATCGCAGTTCATATTGTAAACTATAAAAAGGTGTGAGTCTTGGCGGAAACAAAGGGGAAATCTTTCAAATTGCTAAAACAGCAAGCAGCATCCCATATTGTTACCATTGCTAGGACAAAATGTTACTTTTTAGCTTCATGTTACCAGATGATTGCAGTATGAGCAGCATGTTGACCTTATAATAAATTCCATGTCATTTTTTTTTTTTTTTTTTTTTTTAAATAGGAATATTCTCTTGCTGAGGTAATTTCAATTAGTGGGCTACTAAGCAACTCATATTGCGCCTTGGGCCTAGTAAAATATAGGCACAGTATAGAGCATGGGCGTCCAGCCTTTTGACTTCCTTGGGCCACACATCAAATATATAATATAGATTATAGATAATGTATATAAGTAATATCTTTAAAAGCTTTTTTCCTTAATTTTTCCTTAATTTTGATATTTCAATTGTTTAGTAGATAACTCCCTTATTTGTTATAAAAATGTGGAAACGTGTGGAGCATGTGGAAACGGTGGAGCATTCCTTCTCCTGCCCCCAACCATTTCTATACCACTGAATGGGCTCCCTGCCTCCCTCTTTGCCCGAAAGCAATGTGCCAGAATAACATGAGGTTCATTCACTCAAAACCCAATTTTTACAAAATAGCCATTTAGTTGTTTTGGAGAGGTTTTCCACATCAGTTGCAATTCAGTATTTAGAGAATAAACGATGTTTCAATACTGAAACGGACCTATACCTAACTGGGTCCTGTTACATCACAAATACTTTGAAAATCAATGTGTAGGTTTCCATATGTCTCTCACCTGTCAGGAATTTAATCTTTACAAGGAGCACTTCTTACACTTCAGCCCATTGTCCACATCAATCTTAGAATGCAACAATACCAAAAGGCAAAATAGTTTAACCTAGTGCAGCTATTGTGTATAAGTTGCTGTAGCCCCAATGGCAAGCAAAATATAGCAATCCAACGTATTCTTCAATCTCAGAATGCCATACTAAATATGCACAGCATTTACTTTTGACATTTCAAACCCCCTTTGCAATGACCTGGTGTGTTGCAGCACAGTTTTTTTATGTGCAAGTTCTGGTTTTAATCGAAATGAACCAACACCCATTTAGGATTCCTTAGCATGATGTCATTTAATGCTGCTGTGATGTTTGGTGTGGTGAGATCAAAAAAGTGGAAACCCCCAAACCCTCCCTGGCTCACATTCTCCCAAAGGAGAAAGATTTTACACTTTCCATGAACCTAAAACACACATGAAATAATATATAACTTTGCCTTATTCATGGATTCGTTTAAAAAAAAAAAAAAAAAAGTTAAATGCACATTTTTGACATGAACCTAAAATACACTGTAATTTGCCATATTTATGCTTTTGGTGTTTAAGAACTTATTAAATTGAGTAAACTGTGAAGAGAAGCTTAAATCTTAAAGCAGATATGTCCCTTTCCCCGAAACTGACAGATTAAATATGAGTTCAGGGGCAGCCGGGTGCAGGGGAGGTATATTTTACTTGCCTTAAGGCTTGTACCTGTCGCTATCTTTCTCCTGCTGTCCTATTTGGCTCCTGGTGCTTTGGTTGCCGGGAGTCACGTCCGTGTACAACACTAAGGTTTATGGAGAATCTCACAAGAGATCCTCCATAGACGGAGCCTGAATCGCACAGCCATAATTTCTGATGGCTGTTGAGATTGGAAAAAAGTTAATGGTGGAACTTTGCATTTTGTGAACCTCAGGCTTTACTATAAGACAAGGTATTCCCTACTTTGCCTCATAGTATATTTGGATTGTGTTGGACTTTCAATGAAATTCCAATGCAGTCTTGATCAATGTTGCATAAAGAATACATATTGATGAAATACTGAAAAGCGCCAGATCCGCTTTAAAGGGACACCCTGTACCCCTAATGCACTTTGTTTGGTAAAATGCTTTGTGTGAAATGTGTCCTCCTCTTGTTTTGTTTGTTTTTTTCCCTTTCTATTTAATACCAAAGTGCAGATTTCAATAGAATTTTGCACTTTTAGGAAATTAACCTTGTTCACCCCCACAGCTGTCAATCGGACAACAGGTGTTGTTCCTGATTTGTTTAGCTCAGTGGAGCTAGACTCAAGAACCAGCAACTGCTCAGAGCACCTGCCTTGCTGCAAAGACTTCTCATTGAGCTGCATTGGTAAGTCTGTGATTGGACAGCTACAGGAAGTCTGGGCTGAGTTAGAAGAGGAGGGCTTGCAATGGAAGCAGACAAAATAACTGGTTTTAGATATAACCGTAATGGCAAATGCATAAATTAATTGCTGCAAGTTTTCATTGGGTTATATCTACAATTTTTTTTCTATTTTATTTGGGCAGTGAAGTGCACCTTAAGTAAATACAGCTCTACTTTGTGTTACATTTACAAAAACAAGTACTTTGACTCATTTCAACTTTAACCTAAATTTACCTAAAATTTCCTTAGTAGGAGTTTCAACATAATTAACTGTTAAGTGTTGTGGCCAGGGGAGGGGCATGATCCAGAATATAGGGGACTTCATGACCTAGCAAAAGCCATGTATGCAAACTTCCCAAGTGTTCCTATTTAAGAGGGTAAGTCTATCCTTTGGACCCAAATCCCTCTGTCCCACTTTTTTTATCCTAATGTCCCTCTTTTCTAAGCACTCCATATTGTTGGTGTGTCTGAGTGTATAATAGAGCTCCACAGCAATAATACTTTCAGTAATGTGTCTTTAAACTACAATAAATGAGTTTTGAAATCAGTCTGTGTAAATTAGATATATTCTAGTTCTATAACTTATTAGTAAGTCACCTAAAACTTCTCAGAACAGCCCAGCCCATGGCCACATCCCTGCTCTCACCCCTAAAATAAGTGTCCCTCTTTATCCATTTGAAATGTTGGGAAGTTTATGTAAGATTTCTTATTTACAGACAGTAGTTCAGTGTCAGATGCTGCAGGTGCCCCATACATTTAGAGCCACTTGATGAGTATTATTGCTGAACAGGGTCCTGGTCGGGTGCCGCGGCCCTTTAGGAACGTGACTAGACCCCTGCAGTATCTGTTGGCTGGGAGTGAGAGCCCATCACTTCCTCCCAGCTTCAAACAGAGAGTGCCTTGCAGTAATTTACCCTCCTAGACACAAAATTTTTATTAACAGGAGTGTGGCTCCAAATATAAAAATGATTATTTATGTGTCTATGTAATATAGACAAAAAGGAATTGGGGCACAACTGAAAAACATGCATTTTGCAGAAATGGTGCTGCCACAGTGACCACAAATCATACATAATACAGATGAAGGAACAGCACACTCATAAAAATACACTTTTCTATTTTATAAGGCTACTTAAAATCACAGGGGATTCAGTTCCACAATATGCCCATATTGTGTTAAGCCCACCACTTCTTCACAGTACCTCAATATCTGTGGGTCCTATACTAACTCCATAATATGTATCTTTATTTATTTAATTAAAAAAAACAAATATTCTATGTCCCCCCTCCCTTCTTACCTTTATTGAGGAGGAGGGGGGACATATTTTCATCCCTGGTAGTCCCAGTGGTGATTCCCTGGTGGTCCCAGTGGTTACAGTGAACTCTAGCCCGCGCTCCCGGGCTAGAGTTCACTCTCGCGAGATTTGGAGCGTTGCCGTGGTAACCGCGGCAACGCTCCAAATCTCGCGAGAGGAGGACCCGGAGGACCTGCAGACTGAGCTCCCGGGTCCTCCCTCTCCCTCCCCTGCCGGCCGCCAGCACAGTGCTAGCGCCTGCATGTGCTGGCAGGGGAGGGAGACCGGCGGATTTCTCGGGGGGGGCAATTGCCCCGTTGCCCCCCCCCTGGATCCGCCAGTGCTTTCAGTAATGTGTCTTTAAACTACAATAAATGAGTTTTGAAATCAGTCTGTGTAAATTAGATATATTCTAGTTCTATAACTTATTAGTAAGTCACCTAAACCTTCTCAGAACAGCCCAGCCCATGGCCACATCCCTGCTCTCACCCCTAAAATAAGTGTCCCTCTTTATCCATTTGAAATGTTGGGAAGTTTATGTAAGATTTCTTATTTACAGACAGTAGTTCAGTGTCAGATGCTGCAGGTGCCCCATACATTTAGAGCCACTTGATGAGTATTATTGCTGAACAGGGTCCTGGTCGGGTGCCGCGGCCCTTTAGGAACGTGACTAGACCCCTGCAGTATCTGTTGGCTGGGAGTGAGAGCCCATCACTTCCTCCCAGCTTCAAACAGAGAGTGCCTTGCAGTAATTTACCCTCCTAGACACAAAATTTTTATTAACAGGAGTGTGGCTCCAAATATAAAAATGATTATTTATGTGTCTATGTAATATAGACAAAAAGGAATTGGGGCACAACTGAAAAACATGCATTTTGCAGAAATGGTGCTGCCACAGTGACCACAAATCATACATAATACAGATGAAGGAACAGCACACTCATAAAAATACACTTTTCTATTTTATAAGGCTACTTAAAATCACAGGGGATTCAGTTCCACAATATGCCCATATTGTGTTAAGCCCACCACTTCTTCACAGTACCTCAATATCTGTGGGTCCTATACTAACTCCAATATGGGAGACAGATTAAATAGTGCTAGTGCTAAATAAGTGTATTATTACAATCTGTTGTCAGAGCATTGTGTTTGTGTATGTATGTGTGTGTGTGTGTATGTGTGTGTGTGTGTGTGTGTGTGTGTGTGTGTATATATATATATATATATATATATATATATATAAATGTATGTATATATAATGTATGTATATATATATAATGTATGTATATATAATGTATGTGTATATATATATAATATATTGCAAAATAAATGTAATAAACGCATTTTAAAAATGCTGTGTCAAAACTAAACAATTAAAGTGATTGTGCTTTGAAGTATATACTCGCAATACATATGTCTGCTCTATGAAAATAATAAAGTGACATTACCATCCAAACCCTCCTCAATTATATATATATACCTGTGGTCACCTCCAGAGGGACCTCTGAAGCTGGGGGGCTGGGTGGGGCACTTAACACCAAAGGGAATCTAGTCTGGATTCCAAACTTGCATAGTAAAGATAAAAAGGAATTGGGGGCACACCCAAAATATGAATTCTGCAGGAATGATGCTGCCATAGTGACCAAAAGTTATACATAATACACCTTTTTGTTACACTATTTAATTTGTCTCCCACATTTGAATTAGTGTAGGACCACCTGGCACCCTGACTGGGTACCTTTTGTCAAGCTCGCTTCCTAGCTCTCCTCTGGGACACATCCCCTAACCGCAGCAGCTTGGTTGGGGTCTCTCCGTCGCTTCCCACCCTGTAACAGGGTCCTGGGTACAGCTTCAAGTGATTAAGCTCTCCTGCGTTGAATATATCCACCCAAACACTAGCCCAGACTGAGTGAAGGGTGAAATAGAACTGTTTTTTTTTTGTTTTTCATTTTTTTATTTTTATGGCCAAGTTGCCTGCATATATACACAACTCCCAGCAGGAGTCTCCACACAATACAATGCAAGCCCCTCCCATAAATCTCTGTGCCTGAGAGATAATTGCGTTAAAGATCAGTAAGCTAATTATCTCCCATGAACAGCGAGGCAAACATTAAAAATATAAAACATAAAAAATACCCGAAAACATCATAAAAATATATCATAACCCCACAAATAATACATCCCCAAATAGCCCTGATCTGAGCTCCCAAGTTCTCCAAATAGAGCTCAGATCCATAGTGTAGGGGAAACTCCACCCTGTTAAATTTCTGACCGGCCGCATCCGAAATATAGGGTACTCCAGCTGCCTCTTGGGTAGCGTTTGTTCCCCCTAGTCTCAAGCATGTTTCCCCCAAAAAGCAATCTCCTTACGGATTTCAAAGTGGTTTAAAACCTCGAACCAGGTTGGCCAGGAACTGCGCAGTCACCTCATACCAAAAACATTTCAATAACATTTGTGGCGAAGTCCCGCTGAGGTGACTGGGAACCTATGAAGTCCTCATGCCGAAATTAGTTCCATAGTGATGGCGGCTATGTCCTGCTGAGGACTATTCGTGGGTTTGGTTTGGTATACTCTAATTTAGATGCACAAGTCGGTACACATTACTGTTGTGAAGTTCTACTATACAATACCTCTCAACATTTTGAGGTTAGAAGTCGAGATTGGGGAATATGTCAGTGTACTGCATGGAAATGGGCAAAATCAGCTGCATCTGGTAAAGAGGAGGGAGTGGTAATGGTAGCTTAGTGTGAACGTGCAACATAAGCACATCTAACAAGGCTACATGCTAGACTTGTTCTCTGGAATTCTTGAGTTTGGCATACTAGCATGGGCGTCCCATGGAACTTTTCTGGGCAGAGTTGGGGGGGGGGCATAATTGTAATTACATCCATGCTTGGTCCCTTTGTGACCGTGCCATGAAAGGGAAGAGGCATAGTCATTATCACATAAAGCCAGGGTGAATAGCATTTTCACAACTATGGTATCAGGAATACATGTTTGAATTCCTGACACTATAGTGTTCCTCTAAGCAAATTAAAAGAACATTCTGGTCACCATAACCACTTCATCTAAATAAAAATGCTATGATGCCAGGAAGCCCCTGTGGCGAAACCGACCTCGCCACTGGGCATTGGAGAAGACTGATTGCCAGCCTCCTGCCATGTGACTATGGCCCCTGGGATGTATTGCCCTTTAAAGACATGATTTGGGCATAATGGATTTGTGTTGTGCTGTTGATGTCCCTTTAAGAACCATCTGGGGATATACTGTGGAGTTACTGGGTGGCCACCATTTCATGTATCAGAGGCACATGGTGAGAACAATGGATGAAGCACATGGTGATAACAATGGATGGCGGGCATTTTAACTCACAGACACTGTTTGGACTTTCCTACATGGTGCCATCTCGCCGGTATTTATGGGGTTATTGCATGTTTTGGGGTCCCTGTGATATGTTTTATAATACTGTATTTCTCTGCCTGTGATAATTATATTAACCATTGTGTTCAGTAATCATATCACAGGCAGAGGGGAGGATTTTGTGTGGGACTGTCTGTGTGTATTGTACGGATTGATTGGTTGTATTTCAAAACCCTGTGGGCTGTACTATGTTTGTGGATTGTGAATAAAAGAGGCTGTATGTGCCAGTACAGTCAGTTCTGCTTGACCTCAAAACGAAGTGTCGTCTCGTTATTGGGGGAATTGTAAGCTGATTGTATGCTTTTCCTGTTCAGCTGCTTACAGCATTCATATGCTTGAGAGCATTCGTATGCGTCTCCGGTTCGGTGGTTGTGGTGTCTGCTGCAGTGCTTGGAGTCCTCAGGAAGCGCTAGGAGCACCCTCAACGGAGTTACCCAGTCGGGGTGCCAGGTGATCCGTTACAGCCCCTGTGTTTTCTCTTTTCTTTAAGGGGTTAAACTGCTCTCAAATGGTTTAACCCCCAAAGGCTTCCTCTAGCTCCAGATCGCTCAGTGGTATTCGGCTTCTGAAACGGAGTGTCAGGAAGTGCAGATTGACATCAAGCACGGGTGCTGCAGATTGGCTAGAGTGGTCAGTTGATGCTCTAAGCCAATCGCTAGTTCCCGGGTTCATAAAAATATTTAACTTTTTTATGAATTGGGAGCTACTGATTGGCTTAGTGCCAGCTGACCGCTCTAGCCAATCAGCGGCACTCTGTGCTTCCTGACACTCAGTAAATAAAAGTGAACACATTAACACTATTTTCCAAAGTTTCCCTGCCAGGCCCAGGTACCAAAGCCTTATGATGTGGTATCCAGAATAAAGTGGTTCCCTTCACTTGTCCTTCCTGCTCCAATCTCCTTTTCTTCTCCTTCATTGACAGTCTTCTTTTTCTTCTGACCCTATATTCTCTCCTCCTTGGCTCCTTTACCTTTCTGCTACTTTCTGCTTATTTTGCGCTAATTCTGCTCCTTTCTCTTTCTGGTCCATTTCTACTTCTTGCAGACCCTTTCTGCTCCTTCTGATTCTTTCTGCTCCTTCTGTCCATTTCTGCTCTTTGCAGACCCTTCCTTCTCCTTGCAGACCCTTCATGCTAATTTCTGCTCCTTCTCCTACTTTGTTTGTGCTCCTTCCGCCCCTTCAAGCTCATTGCTGACCCTTTCTGCTCCTTGATGTCCCTTCCTGCTCATTTCTGTTACTTCTCCTACTTTACCTTTGTGCTCCTTCTGTCCCTTCCTGCTCATTGCTGCCCTTTCCAGCTCCTTGCTGACCCTTTCTGCTCCTTCTACTTTACCGTTGTGCTGTTTTACCTTCCAGCTCCTTGCAGACCCTCTCAGCTCCTTGCTGCCCCTTCCTGTTCATTTCTGTTCCTTCTCCTTTCTACTCCTTCTCTTACTTTACCTTCATGTTCCTTGCTGACCCTTCCTGTAGGCTGCCCCCCCATCCCTCACTTACCTGATCTATAGGCTGCCTCCCATCATCCCTCACTTACCTGATCTGTAGGTGGATCCCCCCATCTCTCACTCGTCTGTTTGCTGCACCCCACCATCTCTCACTTACCTGATCTGTAGGCTTTCTCCCCCTCACCATCCCTCATTTAACTGATCTATAGGCTCCCCCATCCCTCACTTACCTGATCTATAGTCTGTCTCTCCCCTCCCCCCTTCCTCACTTTCCTGATCTGTAGGCTACCCCCCCATGCCTCACTTCCCTGATCTGTAGGCTGTCTCTCCCCTCCCCCCTCACTTCCCTGATCTGTAGGCTACCACCACCCCATGCCTCACTTACCTGATCTGTAGGCTGGCTCTGCAGTCTGGGAGTTGCTGGCTGCACTCTGTGCTGCTCCCATGCGGATTCAGTCAGGAGAAAGAAGCAGGGATAAGATGTAGCTTCCTATCCCTGTCTCTATCTCCATAGACAGGCACCAGTATTGCAGTGTATTTTCAATCTCACACAAAAAATAGAACAAGCTGAAAAATCCAGGAGGGGGGAGGGGCCTCCTATAAGAGGTGGCTCCTATAAGAAAATATACTATGTGTATTGGGTAACTTTACCTCATTAGAATAGAAAATCAACTTACAAGGTATGTTATAAAAGTTTTTTGTATTATGAATTTAACCTAAATACCTAGCTTTGGTCATGTTACGGTACCTCCAGTAATGAAATGTACAAACCGCCATTTAGCGAGTATTCCCCGTTCGCAATAATGTGGTCGGGTAGCGGGTATAGTAAAACCATGCGAACCGCCAGCCAGGGAACACTCCAAACTCCCGAACGGTACCTGTACGGCTAATTCCCTTCACGAGCTGCAAATCCACGAACGGCAAATAGTAACCGAACGTCAATATCTCCCAAGCGGCAAATAATCCAAATAAGCAGTCTTTAGTCGCTGGTAACCAAATCCCCCCCCAATAACGAGACCAAGCTCCGCTTTGAGGGTAAAACACGAACTGATTTACTGTGGGCTACCTGCCCGGTATTTATGCAGGTCTCCCACTTGGTGGACATTCCTCTAGGGGACCAAATGGGAGACTGAAATCACAGAAGGACATGGGGACATTTTGGACATACATCCCCACAATACTCCCAGCATGCAGTACAGTTCCCTCCCCTCTGCTCGGGGGATAATTGGGAAGTAACTCAATTATCTCCCTGAGCAGAGGCAATCGCCATTTTAAACACAAGTCACAAAAACACATGAAAATCCATAACTTCATAACTGCCGAACATATTACATTCGTATTGCATATCCCCAGATAGCCTGGATCTGAGTGCACATTATTGGAGAATAGCGCTCAGATCCCATTCGCACAGTTCAATCGCCATGGAGTCAAAGTCTCTTTCAGTTCTTCGGTATGCGATTGACTCCATGGGACGGCTATCTGGGTTAAGTCCATTCGTGTGGTTGAATCTCCCGAACGGCTGGCATTCGTATACTTTTGTCGATTGAGAAGGGGAGGTCGACGGCTTCAGCGGTGTTCGGCTGAAAAAGTGTCCGTTTTCAGATCCATGAAATAATCGAACACCGCTGGTCGTTCGCATGGACAAAATGGCCGCCGCCTCGTGGTCGACATACGAACGACGACCACCCGGCATTCGGTTTTAATTGAGAAGTGTCTGTGGTTAACCGCAACGTTCTAATTGGGATCAATAGGTTAACCAGCAGCACACTTCTCTTCTGGGTGGCTGTCCGTTCGGTAGTTCCGTTCGACAAAACCGACATTCCCTTGAATAAAGCATACAAATGGGGAAATTCATGTAACCGGCAAAACAGGCGAACAAAGCAGTTGTAATCCAGACAGATGGGTCTGTCACATGGCTCCCCCCTTGTGGAACACTCCGGCAGATCCGGCTTGACCCTTTGGCGGGTCAACTTGGGGATGACCGGACTGGGAAGAAGTAGGGACGTCTGTTTGCCGGGACAACCCATCCGCGTTCCCATTCTGCTTACCGGGTCGGTAGCTGATGGTGAAGTTGTAAGGCTGTAGTGCCAAACTCCACCTCAGCAGTCTGCCATTGTCTCCTGAGACCCGGTTAAGCCAGACAAGGGGGTTATGGTCCGTAATAAGGGAGAATTCTTGTCCGTATAAATAAGGGCTCAATTTCTTCAGTGCCCAGACCAGGGCTAAACACTCTTTCTCCACTGCCGCATAACTTACTTCCCGGGGTAGTAACTTTCTGCTTAAGTATGCGACAGGGTGCTCTCCTCCATCTTCCCCGACCTGGCTTAGCACAGCCCCCAGTCCATACATGGAAGCATCTGTATGTACAAGAAAACGTTTGTTAGGGACTGGGGCAGCCAGGACAGGAGCATTAACAAGAGCCTGCTTAAGTGCTTGAAACGCGGCTTCACAAGCTGGAGACCACAGGACCTGCTTAGGCAAATTCTTCTTAGTCAGGTCAGTCAAGGGCTTAGCAACCGTACTGTAGTCAGGGACAAAACGTCGGTAATACCCTGCCGTCCCCAAGAAGGCCAGCACTTGGGTCTTAGTGATAGGTGTGGGCCAGTTAGCCACCGCCTCTACCTTAGCTGGCTCTGGTCTCTGGCTCCCACAGCCTACTCTGTGACCCAAGTACTGTACTTCTGCCATGCCATGCACTTGTCTGGCTTCAAGGTAAGGCCTGCGGCCCGAATCTTGTCCAGCACCCCCCCCACGTGTACTAAATGGTCTTCCCAGGACTCACTGTAGACCGCAATGTCATCCAGGTATGCACATGCAAAGTCCTGGAAGCCATCGAGGAGCCTATCCACCATACGCTGGAACGTAGCCGGAGCATTCTTCATCCCAAATGGCATAACCTTAAACTGGTACAGGCCAAATGGGGTGACGAATGCCGACTTAGGGATAGCATCCTCGGCCAGGGGGATCTGCCAATAACCTTTACATAGGTCAATGGTGGTCAAGTAGCGCCCCCTGGCAATGCGGTCTAATAACTCGTCTACCCGGGGCATAGGGTAGGCATCAGTGGTGGTCCGCTCGTTGAGCCGCCTGTAGTCCACACAGAACCGGGTGGTCCCATCTTTCTTAGGCACCAGAACTACAGGCGAGGCCCAAGGGCTGTCTGAGTGTTCGATAACCCCAGCCTGGTCATCTCCTGTATCTCCGTCCGCATTCCTTCTCGGACTGCTTCAGGGCTACGGTAAGGGGGTTGTCGTAGGGGGTTCTGTCCGGGTGTCTCGACCTTGTGTACAGCTAGAGTAGTGTACCCGGGTTCTTGGGAGAACGTCGCCTGCTTCTCCCACAGTAACTGTCTCGCCTGTACCTTCTCCGCCGGGTTTAGCCGGTCCCCCAGCTGTTCAAGACTAGTAAGGTCTGTCTGGGGATCCCTCTCTAACAAGTCAGGTAAAGGTAGGTTCTCGGAGTCGTCAGTAGCTGGGGCACATACTGCCGCAACATCCTCTGGTCGTTCCTGATACTCCTTCAGCATGTTCACATGGAAGGATCGCTGAATCCTTTCATCTGAACAGCTGGCTATAAGGTAGGTAGTATCACACACCTGAGCTAACACTTTATACGGGCCCTGCCAAGATGCTTGCATCTTGTTTGTCTTCACAGGCTTGAGTACCAGAACCTTCTGCCCAACCTGGAAGACTCGGGCACCCCGATCGTACCACCGTTTCTGTCTCCCCTGGGCCGCCTGGAGATTCTCCCTGACCATCAGGGATAGTTTCTCCATGCGGTCCCGGAGTTCCAGGACATATGGCACTATGGGAGTCCCTTCTTGCTCTGTCTCCCCCTCCCAGTGTCCTCTAATGAGATCTAGGGGTCCACGGACCCTTCTCCCATAGAGTAACTCAAAGGGGGAGAACCCAGTAGATTCCTGGGGCACCTCCCTGTATGCAAATAGCAGATGAGGCAGGAATCGCTCCCAATCTCTGCAAGTGTCAGTAAAGGTCCTCAACATCTGTTTGAGGGTGCCATTAAATCGCTCGCAGAGACCGTTAGTCTGTGGGTGATATGGTGAGCTAAGCAGAGGTTTAATACCGCACACCTTCCACAGCTGCTGGGTAAGCACAGCAGTGAACTGGGTTCCCTGATCGGAGAGAATCTCCTGAGGGAACCTGACCCTAGTGAAGATTTTAACCAGGGCATCAGCAACCGTCTCTGCCTCTATATTAGACAGCGCTACTGCCTCTGGATAACGTGTGGCATAGTCCACCACGGTGAGAATATACTTCTTACCTGATGAGCTAGCCCTGGCCAGTGGACCCACAATGTCAACGGCTATGCGGGAAAAGGGTTCTCCAATGATAGGCATCGACTGAAGCCTAGCTTTTGGGTGATCCCCCCGCTTACCTACCCGTTGACAAGTGTCACACGTGCTGCAATGAACCCGCACATCTCGGTTAAAATTGGGCCAGAAGAAATTTTGTGTGATCCTATGAGCTGTGCGGCGGGAACCTAGATGGCCGGCTAATGGCACATCATGCCCAATCCGCAGAATCTCTTGCCGGTATTTTGCAGGCACCACTAGCTGTCGATTCTGCGGAGGGGTACTCGGCTTCTGGGACGGTTTCGGGATCCTGTATAGTCTATCCCCCACCCACTCGTAGTGCTCCCCATCTACTCCTTCTCCCCCAGAATCGGCCCTGGCCCTGTACTTGGCTAGCGTCGGGTCTTCCCTGGTTTCCTTCCCGTACATCTCGGGGGTATCCCAACCTGAAGGGGCCTGGTCTAAGGTACAAGTCAGGGGAGAGAGTCTTACCTGGGTCTCAGCAGCAGGTGGGCCGGTCTCGGCGGCACGGGTCTGGGCACGGGTCGTGACAGCATCCACTTCAGCAGGACCCATGGGAGCGTAGGCGGAAACAAGGGGCGCCAAGTCATTGCCAAGGAGGACATCCGCTGGTAAGTCCTTCATGACCCCCACATTCACATGTCTAGTGCCTACTCCCCAATCCAAATGTACCCGGGCAACGGGCAGACGGAACACGGCACCTCCAGCTACTCGTACGGCGACCGTGTCCCCTGTATGTTGGGCTTCGGATACCAGGTGCTTCTAGAGCAAGGTCATAGTTGCCCTGGTATCTCGTAGACCACTGACCTCCTTCCCATTTACTTTCACACACTGCCGGTGATGCTGTCAGTTATCCCGGTGAGCAGCCTGAACGGGGTCTGCCTCGTGCAGCATGCCCCAGCACTCTTCTTCCTCTACACAGTGAGCGGCCTGGGAGGGGAGGTCGTGGATTGCCGCCGGCTGGTCTCCTCCAGGACTGGTTCTGGTTGGCGCTGTTCATCGGGCACTCGGGTCACTTGTGCCCTAGTTGCTTGCACAGGTAGCACCGAATGGGTTGCGTGTATTCCCGTGCATTAAACCTAGGTGGCTGTTGGTACGGGGCAGATGGAGGAGGTGCTGATGGGCGAGTCATGGGAGGCTGGTAGAGGTTGGCTGGTGCTGGTGTTGCTGGCCTGTACTCCACTCTGGCGGGAGCCTTACTGATGAGACTGTCCAGTTTGCGGGCGTCGGTATACTCATCCGCCAGGCGAGCTGCTTCGTGCAGAGTGGAGGGTTTACGGTCCCTTACCCACTCTCTGACCCCTGCTGGTAATTTGTCAAAACAATGTTCTAAGAGGAACATCTGCAGCACCTCTTCCCCGGACACAGCCTGGCACCCCGCCATCCAGTGAGCGGCTGTGCGGTGCACCTTGCATGCCCATTCCACATATGAGTCCCAGAGGTTTTAACCGTGTCTCGGAACCTCCTCCGGTACGCCTCAGGTGTAACAGCATACCGGGAGAGTAAAGCTTCCCTGACGGCCCCATAATCCCCAATCTCCTCATCTGGAATGGCCCGAAAAGCCTCGCTGGCCCGGCCGGATAACTTGCCGGACAGTATAGTAACCCAGTCTTCTAGGGGTACCTTGTGCAGAGCACATTGCCGCTCAAAATCAGCAAGGTACCCATCAATCTCTCCTTCTGTCTCACTGAAGGCTTTAAATGCTGTAAATGGCACCTTTTTCCTATCTCCCGGGTTTGCTGTGACTGGGGCTGCTGCAGCACCGCTTTGGCGTAGCAGGTTGGCCTCCACAGCGGCTATGACCTGGGTGACAGTCTCAGTAGTTGGGTTGGGACCATAATGGGCCAGCCTGATTCTTACCGCCCGGTCGAAGCTTGCCTCCTCGGGGGTTCTGTCAGCTGTGCTGGGTCCATTGGTTCCCTCTTCCGCCGTTACTCCATCCATTTCCAGCAATAGTGCAATAATATCCCTCTTCCTGAGGTTACTGGCTTGTCCGCCTCTTTGTTCCAATAAATCCTTTAGGGTAGCTCTTCTCAGGTTCTGGTATTGTAGTTCCATTTAATCCTGGTTGTAGTGGTTTCTTTGGGCGCTGAGGATCATCCCGTCGCTTGCCACCAGTTGTTACGGTACCTCCAGTAATGAAATGTACAAACCGCCGTTTAGCGAGTATTCCCTGTTCGCAATAATGTGGTCGGGTAGCGGGTATAGTAAAACCATGCGAACCGCCAGCCAGGGAACACTCCAAACTCCCGAACGGTACCTGTACGGCTAATTCCCTTCACGAGCTGCAAATCCACGAACGGCAAATAGTAACCGAACGTCAATATCTCCCAAGCGGCAAATAATCCAAATAAGCAGTCTTTAGTCGCTGGTAACCAAATCCCCCCCCAATAACGAGACCAAGCTCCGCTTTGAGGGTAAAGCACGAACTGATTTACTGTGGGCTACCTGCCCGGTATTTATGCAGGTCTCCCACTTGGTGGACACTCCCCTAGGGGACCAAATGGGAGACTGAAATCACAGAAGGACATGGGGACATTTTGGACATACATCCCCACAATACTCCCAGCATGCAGTACAGTTCCCTCCCCTCTGCTCGGGGGATAATTGGGAAGTAACTCAATTATCTCCCTGAGCAGAGGCAATCGCCATTTTAAACACAAGTCACAAAAACACATGAAAATTCATAACTGCCGAACATATTACATTCGTATTGCATATCCCCAGATAGCCTGGATCTGAGTGCACATTATTGGAGAATAGCGCTCAGATCCCATTCGCATAGTTCAATCGCCATGGAGTCAAAGTCTCTTTCAGTTCTTCGGTATGCGATTGACTCCATGGGACGGCTATCTGGGTTAAGTCCATTCGTGTGGTTGAATCTCCCGAACGGCTGGCATTCGTATACTTTTGTCGATTGAGAAGGGGAGGTCGACGGCTTCAGCGGTGTTCGGCTGAAAAAGTGTCCGTTTTCAGATCCATGAAATAATCGTCGAACACCGCTGGTCGTTCGCATGGACAAAATGGCCGCCGCCTCGTGGTCGACATACGAACGACGACCACCCGGCATTCGGTTTTAATTGAGAAGTGTCTGTGGTTAACCGCAACGTTCTAATTGGGATCAATAGGTTAACCAGCAGCACACTTCTCTTCTGGGTGGCCGTCCGTTCGGTAGTTCCGTTCGACAAAACCGACATTCCCTTGAATAAAGCATACGAATGGGGAAATTCATGTAACCGAGAAAACAGGCGAACAAAGCAGTTGTAATCCAGACAGATGGGTCTGTCACAGGTCATATCTGTGTTTATCCTATATCCCTGTGTACAGAGCGGGTCTGTTGAATGTTTCACTAAAATATTTTTGTAATTAACAAAGTCTCTTTGCTGGGGTAATTCACTAAGCTCCTAAAATCGCAATATTGCCATTCAGGTATTCTCTAAAGATAACACTGCCTGCCCTAAATCTTTTTGCTAAAAAAACCCCAAAAGAAAATGTCAGAATTCTTTATAAAAAAATAATTATATTTAACATAAATCCATTTTATTATAAACCTAGCTGTATCCAGATTTACTCCCCCTTAAAACTTGTGGGGGACATATTTAGAGATGTTCCCAGTCTGCATGCAGAGGGAGTAATAAGGTAGAATCCACAGCTAACTGTACAACCAGCCAGTGATAAAGAGTTAAATAAATAGAACATTTTGGGGGGGAATCCCCAGCACCAGAAGTAAATCTATTATGTTTGTGCTCAAGACTTTTTTTAATAAGAAAGGGTTTTATGGATATTGCAATGGTGACTATATGTATTGAACTAAACATGACCCTGACATAATCGGGGAGTTCCTTAACCACAACTGGGCGTCCTATGTGGAATAAATAATACTCAATAAAATTGGAGTACCAGAGATTTTCCTTTTGAATGAGTCACCATGGGATTATTAAGCAATATTCTTCTTAGATTTTTCCATCTCATATTAATATCTAAATATTCATAGGTCTGGTTTGTTTTGTTATAGTAACATTATATACCTCTGCTAGACAACGCATGCCTGCATTTGGAATCATTTATCTGAAATGAAAAGGTAATAATGGAATACGTATTTCCTTTATTTTTTTGCCCCCTTTTCTTTACTAGACTGTGCCCACTCATGCACATTAGACATGTGCAATTCATTTCAGTCAGAATGTGAATTGGGACGAATTTTGGGCAATTCAGACATTCAGGTAGTTCTGAAGTTCCGATATACTTACCCAGTGGAAGAATGAAGAATGTTACACTGTATAAAATTTTAAATAAAAAGTATACAAACATAGCCAGTATTCAGCTGTAAGCATTCGCAACACTTACAACAATCAAGTAACATACATTCATATAAAATGTAAGTTACTTAGCCAGTCAGTGTAATGACAGGAATGAATAAGTAGATAACTCCCTAATTCCCACAGTATTCGGGAGCTATCTACTAAAAGGCTGAAAGACATAAATTGGTCTTTCAGCCAAATTTACTAATACTAACTAAAAAATTAACCCCTACCTACCCCCCTCACGCTAAAAATAATGAGGTGGGGACCTTTAACTAAGTACCTGTAAAAAATAAATAAATAAAATAAATAAAAATTCCCATTTGATGTCTTTCTTCTAAAATCTTTTTTTCAGCCCCAAAAAAGGCCAAATAATAAATCCATAATAACCGACGCACTTAAAAAAAAAAAAAAAAAAGGCTGCTCACTGTTTAATAGACATGCCCCTACTCACGGTATAGCAAGTAGGGGCAAAATGCACTAATACTAAGTAATTTTTACTTGGTATTAGTAAATTTGGCTGAAAGACCAATTTAGGTCTTTCAGCCTTTTGGTAGATAGCTCCCTAATACCGTGGGAATTAGGGAGTTATCTACTAAGCGGCTGCATGAGAAGTCCCGAATTTTGGAATGCCGTACTGAACCGAAAATTTTCCCATGCACATGATATAGATAACTATTGTGCATGATCCACTAAATTGAGCTCACAAGATAGCGACATTGTGTGTAGCAGGGCCAGCTCTCCAGTAAGCTCCTAACTCACTGCCTGCCTTGGCCTGCTCCGGCTCCTGGCTGGATTCCAACAAGGTGGAAAAGTCAGCAACTCAACCAGCGCTGTTGTAGTTATAGTGCCAGTAATGCCCTGGCTCACTTTTCCTCCATTGTAATAGTTAAACAGTTTAAGAATCTTTTGACTTATCTGCAGTCCTTCAGCTGCTGTGTTCTCTACATTTCAGTGAGAACCGAAAGCTCCTGCTCGGGCACCTCTGTTAGCTTTGTTGAGCAATCAACCGATGCTCTCAGCCAATGAGCTCGCCCTCAGAAGAGTTAATGGACGCTCCTGCTTACAAGCCTTCACTCTCCTTCAGAAATAATAGATGTGGAGAGCAACAATGGACCCCTAGTGTGACTCATTCTAAAATGATTTGACTACTTGCAATAGAGAGTTGCCAGCGCATTCCTTGCACCAGAACTACAAACAGTGCACTGTAGTGGTTATGGTGGTTTGAGAGTTTCTTTTAAGCTTTGTTACTTTGTTCTTTAGTGAAGTGATAGTTATGTGACCATTTTGGAATGCTAAGAATTACTTGAATCTAGTTTGACAATTATAGTCTGTTTTAGGATCAAAATATGATATCCCCTTTCAACAAGAGAAGAGTCAGATGCAGACATGTTTGAGATTTTTCTAATTCTCCACTCTTTTTTTTTTTTTTTTTTACAAGATGGAACCTTAATAAAGGAATGCTAAAGTGTTGGGAATAGAAGCATATTCGTAATTTTTCGTGGTGAGGGTTTAAAAGATCTTTTACATACTTGGTTTTGCCACTATTGCTCTGCCTCCTCAGCTGAGATCAGACCCGGAAAAAAGGTGTGCCCACCCACTGAAGACGTGTGATAGTCTGGTGCTACTGAAGCACTCTCTAAATGTCCTTGTTTTGGGGGGCAATTGGATTGATGTCTTATAACCCTTTTGCCCCCCTCCTAGTTTAAATACATCTTAGCAAAACCTCTGAACTGCTCACTGAGAACATTTGTTCCCTTTTGAGAAAGATGCAAACCATTTTTTTGGTACCGTTTATGTCCATTTCAAACAGAGCTACCATGAGAAATGAAGCCAAATCCTTGCTCCCGACACCATTCACCAAGCCACAAGTTTAAGTCCCTAATATGCATCCGCCTGTCGTTCTGAGTGTTATGCACAGGTAGAACTTCAGAGAATGACCGTGTCGTGCCGTATATCAGCAAAAACACAAAAAACTTCCTTTACCTCTGAAACCTCATTGCAAGCCAAGTCATTAGTCCCTAGATGGACAAGTAAATCCAATTCCCTTTCCTGCTTTGCTCGCTTAACAATATTACAAATACGTCTCCTGTCTCTGTGAGCAGTAGCTCCGGGAAGACCTCTCACAAGTCCACCATTGTCCAGCTCCACACCTCTTTTATAATAGAATCCCCCAACAACAACTGCTTTCTATTAGGCCTCACCATAGTCTCCAAGCCTGTCTCCATAATACCACTACACTCGGTGCCTGAACCTGTCTCCACAACACCTCTACCCTCAGTGCCTGACCTTGTCTCCATAACACCACTACACTTGGTGCCTGAGCCTGTTTCCACAACAACTCTACCCTCAGTGCAGGCCCGGACTGGCCATCGGGCATACCGGTCAAATGCCTGGTGGGCCGCGGTGGCCATGGGCCGAGGCTGGCAGGGGAGGTCCCAGGATTTCCCCTGCCGGTCTATGCAGGGCCGGCACTATCCGAGCGCCGGCACGGCTGTATTCCAAAGATCTCCCTCACCGTCCCCCTTGTGATAGACCTGCGGCTGGGGAGGGAGAGGACCCGGCAGAGCTCTATCTTGCAGCTCCGCCAGGTTCATCTCATGAGATCCTACTTATTGTTTTTTTATTTTATTTTTTTTGCCCCCCAACACACAATCCCTTCTAATATTCACACACAGCACTCTCACACCCATCACACACAGCACTCTCTCACACAGCCCCCACACCACACACAGCACCCCTCAAACACAGCATCCATCACACACATAGTGCACCCTTCACAGACACACTGCACCCCTCACACATACACACTACACCAAACACACACACAATACTTCAGAACATATTTATATTATATACACACACACTACAGCACTCCTAAACACATTACGTTCCAGACACACACTAGATCCCTTACCCAACTCTGGATCATATACACACACTATATCCCTTTATACACTCTGAATCCGTTATATACACACACACTCACTAGATCTCCTACACATTCTGGGTCCTTAAAACACACACTAGACTCCTGTATACACACACACACACACACACACACACACACACTACATTCCTAAAATACACACTCTGGACCCTTATAAACACACTAGATTTATTGTAAACAAACACATACTACACCCCTAAACACACACTCTCTACAACCCCTACAAACACTACATCACATATATATATAATATACACACTATAGCCTGTATGCACACATTCTCTACTGCCTCTAGCCACATATGCATTACATTACACCAAAAACACAACACGACTAAAACCGACCTTATTACACAATACCACACCACAATCAGCTCACTCTACACAAACGCAATCCCACAAGCAGGCTCCAAACACATGCACAATACTCTTTGAAGGATCTGGGATCTCTGCTTCTTATACATAGGGACTTGCTAGTAGTTTAGTTCTGGACTGGGTGGTATCAGTCTGATGTGTAAAAGTGAATTAAACCTTCCTGAGACCAGATTGGTGCTAATTTAAGGGAAATAAATTACATGATGTAGCTATTTCATGATGTTAAATCATGATTTTATGAAAGACACAGAGGAGAGTAATGCTTAACCCTTTCTTTACTGTCCACCAATAGCAGCAAAGAACACAAATAGAAAAAATATAACATATACAGTGAGACACCACCAATCCACATTCAAGTCCCAGTATAACCGCAAGCACCGCCTCTAAACATCCCTCTTTCTTTGAAGATGCGACACATCACAAGGAGAGACCAAAAACAGGAACAAAATAAAAATCCCAACATTCGGAAAACACAGTAACAAAGTCCAGTGAATGTCAGTCCATGGAACTTCTCAACCTGAAACAAACTTCAATATGATAACGGAATCCAGCCATCTTAAACAAAAACCAACCGGGAAGAAGTGAGGACCATCGAGCAACACCGAATCAAGCTGTGAAAACTCAAAGAACAGGAGCCCAACGGTTAAATCTGTACTAAAACCAAATTGCAATTGCCAAATAAACATGAACCCCGCATGCATCAGGTCATATTACAAATAGTGCAAAACCCACAGTGCATAAACATGAAAATCAAAAATCAAACCAGTACACTTGAACAGAAAAAAACACTAAATACAGTGCATAGAACATAACACCTACTGTACCCTGGAATCTCTATATGAGAGAACAGCAGGGATGGATAAACAAGTTAAACTAACTCCTAAGAGTGGGACAAGACTCGCATCTGTGTCTTTCATAAAATTATGACTATCGTCATGAAATGGCAAATTCCTGTAATTTTACGTCAAGACATTGAGGCTCATATTGCAAGTTTAAAGCTGACCAGCAACCACAGAAACAAAAACGTGAGGGAATGGAAAAATTTCGATTTCGAGTCCACCATTCTCATCGCGTCTTCCAGACGTGCACCTGAAGTCACAATAGAAGTGGCTGATGCCCCTGGGAAAAGTGGGCGCCAAAATCTGACGTGTCCACACAGGCCTGCAACATCACCCACTTCACCCATCGAGCAAAGGTAGTACTGGACATTGGAGAAAATGGATGGCGAAGTGAAATAAAAAGTTGCGGTGATGATATAGAACGATGCGCACTAGTCCGAAGTTCATATTCGTGCAATCAAGCAACAGGATACAATATCAGCGAAGCTGTTAAAGTCTGATACGATACCAAACAAATAGCAGTCTTTGTATGCTTGGAGATGTTAAAGGTCATCCCGTCCGGTGTTAAAGACCGCACATCATAGTCCCGAGCGTGAACGTCCGAAACCCTCTTGCCATAAATGAGGTAGAAGAGGGAGACCAACTTGGCCGACAATTGCGGCAAGGTTAGGTCTGTGTAAGGAGGCCAGGAACCAAAGAGAGATAACACACAGGAGATATCCCAAGTGGAGTAGTAATGAGGTCTAGGTGGGTATGACAGTAGAGATCCCCAAAGCAACCGACACACCAAGGAATGTTGGCCCGCGGGGCAACTGTCAAAACCTTCATGAGCTGAAGAAATGGCCGACCTGTACCAATTAATCATGCGATACGCACGGACAGCCTCAAATAATGATGTAAGGAATTGAAGGATTTCAGTCACAGGTGTTGAAACGAGATCCACGTCCCTAGCCAAGCACCAGCCAGTCAAAGCTCGCCAAGCTGTCTCATATGACCGTCTAGTACCGGGAGCCCATGCAACTGCCAGGAGGCGTCGTGTTGCTTCTGAAACCCCCAGGACATCCCAGGGACCCCGGAAATCCACCACGCAAGTAGCAGGAGGGATCCGTCAAGCAGAAGTGGATGCCGCAGACCCATCAGATCTAGAAGAAGGAGATCCAGGCAAGACTGCAACAGCCTGGGAAAATCCATGGCAAGCTCCAGCAGCTGCGGTAACCAGGACAAAACAGAGCCAGCAGGATCAATTTGGCCTGTTGGCAGTGAACCTGGAAGAGGACCCGAGGGAGCATGACAAATGGAAGAAAAGCGTAGTGGAGCGAGCCGCTCTAGTCCTGCAGGAAAGCGTCCACTGCTTACGCAGCTGGGCTCAGGCACCAGCTGTAGAACCGTGGCAATTGGGTGTTGAGTGGGATGCAAAAAGGTAGATGGGGAAAAAAGGTCCCCAAAGAGATGAGATAGTGAACAACACCCTCACGTCCAATCTCCAGTCACCGCTGTCTGACATATAGAGTGAACTCCAGTCCGCGTTAGTGTTGTGAAGAGCCGGAAAGGTATTCCGCCTGGTCCACAGAGTCCTTGGCCAAGCAATACGCCCAAAAGTAATTAGCTTGACAAGCCAGAAGCGCTGACTGGGTGCCACCCATGTGATTGACGTATAGGACTGCCAAGATGTTGTCCATGCGCAGAGGAACTGGCCAGAAGATCCACAGCATTGATGTGGAGACGGGCCTTGTCCTCTGACCAACGTTCGCCTGTAGTCACGTTGTTGCAGTGGGCACCCCAGCTGTGGAGACTCGCGTCCGAGTCCACAGTGAACTAAGATTGTGAACCAAAGCAGAGAGTTTGTGGATCCATCAATTCAATTTGTCCCGCATCTTGTTCTCCAGCTTGGATAGAGAATGCCAGCAGGAATTGTCGCCAGATGGTGTAGCGTGATCTGCGGGCATGACAGCGTGCGACGCAACTCCTTGTGGATGGTCCGAATATTGGACGTTGGAAGGCTCTGCAATTCCGCTCCTGAGTCCACAGTGAAACCAAGGAACTCCATGCATCTTGAAGGAGTCAGAAAGGACTTCTCCCAGTTGAGGAGGAAACTTTGGCAAGAGAGGAGGTCTATAGTCCATTGCAGGTGCAGTAGAAGGATGGAGCGATTCTGTGCCATGTATATCATCCAGGTAGACAGTCAGACGCACCCCCCGACTGCATAACCAGGCCATGGCCGGGCGCAGCAGTTTTGTGAAGCACCATGGGGCCGAGGAGAGACCAAAAGGAAGACATGTAAAACGCCAAGTTTTGTGCTTCCAAAGAAAATGCAATAAGTCCCTGGACATCTGGGCCACTGAGACCATCAAGTCTGCATCCTTCAGATCCAGTTTTGCCATCCAGTCGTTGTGAAGGAGCAGGTCCCGCAGAAGGTAGGTGCCTTCCATCTTGAAGTGGGGGTAGTGCACCAAGGTGTTCAGGGGATGTAGATTGATAATGGGGCGCATCTGGCCACCTTTCTTTTCAACCAAGAAAATGATGCTGAGGACCTGGGCAGGGGATGTGGGTGCCAGTTCTATTGCCCTCTTCCCGTGAAGGGCCGACAATTCCACGTCTATTAACCCGCGATCTCATAGGGAGAATGAGATTGGGCGAGATGGAGGAATGTGGCAAGGCATACTGACCAACTCTATGTGGAAACCCCCGAATGGTGTCTAGGACCCAAGCACCGGAGGTGATGGCTGATCAGGCAGGGAAAAAAATAGCTTTTGCCCCCTACACAAACCTGAGATGAAAAATGAGGTAGATGTAAGCTAACCGCCATGGTCTTCCACGTGAAGGTAAGAAGGGAGACTGGTCTCTCGCCTCCTGATAGGGGGGTCCCTAGGTACAGTAGTAGTTATGGCTGGGCAGAAGACCTCTGAATCTGCTGGCCCTGGTAGAGACCTGCCCCTGAAATACCCTCTTTATGGAGGATTGGGCTTTTTCAAGGGTGGTAAAAGCTCCTACAAAATGCCCCAGGTCTTTGATAAATTAGTCCCCTAACAGAAGGCCCTTGGCATCCTTGCCCACCTCTGTAAGTGCGAGATTGGCCAATTTGGGCTCTATTTATTTTAGAGAATGGCCTTGTGCTGTTCTACAGAGAGGGAAGAATTAACACAATACTTCCCTTTCTATAGAATGCAATGCCTTCTGCACCCAACCTCAGTTCTTCTGGGTCAACCTGTCTGTTCTCAGCTTTGGTGTCTTCTGCTAGGTCAAAGAGCTTAGCCAAGTGCCCAAATATGTCCAGATGTTTATCTTGGCATGACTTAAGTGCCGAATCCAAACCCATACGTGGGTTCCATCCCAATCTGGTAAGGAACTGGGTCATTTTAGGGTCAACGACCGGGATCTCACAGACTTTATTGGGCACCAAAGGCCGTGGGCATTCAGTCCTGAGTTTACTCTGGGCTGCCTTGCTGAAGGGGCACCGTACCCAGGTCTCCAGGTAACGTGCCTTGTTCCGCTGGGAGCCACTCGTCCAACCTCGGATGATGGAGATCATCCGGGTTGAACATAGGTTCTCCCGATGGATCCAGGAAAGTGGAGCCCACGGTAGCTGGGGTATCACTCAGAGATCCATTCACAGCAGCCCCCGACTGAATGACGGTCAAAAGGTCAAGGTCCTGCTCAAAGGATTCATTATCAGTCACTCGAGGACTTGGTACCAGCCTTGTCACTAGACGCAATTTCTGAGTCGTTGTCGCTCTCAGTTTGTGCTCTAGCACATTTCCATCGCCACGCCCATTCTGCCTAGCGTGGAAGGGCTATTCTGTGTGATTGAGACATGCTGTCTTGGGTGACCTCAGGTACACAGGTCATAATGGTTCTGGAGGCAGAGGGAGTTAAATACCTGGGTTTGGCAATACCCTTCTTGGTTGCGCCCTCCGAGGAGTATGAACTAGAACGCATTGTTGCACCCGAACTTTCTGCGTCCAGCGGGAGATGGCCTGAGAGATTACATAATGGCATTCAAGGCCGGCCTTAGGCCTTTAGGCGCTCTGTGCGAAAAATCTTCACGTCACCTCCTTCCCCCTCCAGTCATCCATGTATAGTGGGTCTGTGTCTGTGTGGTGTCAAATCCACCACGTGCACACAGTCGCAGGCAGAAACACACATACCGTTACAGGCAGATAAACACACTCACACACAATTACAGGCAGACAGTCACACACACAGGTACAGACCGTAACATACATAGAGCCACACATACAGTCTTAAACACACCTACTTACATGCAGACAGTCACATGGCTGGTGTCTCACTGTATATGTTCTATTTTTCTATTTGTGTTCTTTGCTGCTATTGGTGGACAGTAAAGTAAGGGTTAAGCAATATGAGCCTTTGTCTTGCAATAAAATCATATTTTGTTTTTGCATACACTGTTTTGAGATGTCAACAAAACCAAAAAGAAAGATGTGCTGTGTCCTTAACCCCTTAACTATGCCATCCTTGAAAGGGTGACTCTAAACGCTGGAGGGCAGGTATAGTACGTCCAGCCGTCTTCCCGCTGTCCTGGCCCCCCCTTGTCTTACCTGGACAGGCGATCCCGGTCGGGGAAGGGGGGGGGTGGAGTGATGTGGCGGGGACAGCCTGAGAGTCCAGCAGTCCCCCTGGAGCAGCTGCGGCCATTCCGGCTCTTTAGGGCCATGTGATCGTGAGTCTATGGAGTTGCCTGTAGGGGGGACTGCCTGAGCTGTCAGGCAGTCCCCCAGGCTGCTAAAAGTGTAAAAAAAAAAAAATTTAAATTTAAAAAAAAAAAAAAAAATCAATTAAATAATCAAATATATTAAACATATATTATATATGTATAATCTATTATAAAATAATTAGAGCATTTTATAATATATTATACATATATAATGCATATATATGATTTCATTATAATGAAATCATATGCATTAAAAATGTATAATATAAAATGCTTTAATTATATTCTACATATATAGGAAATACGTGTGTGTGTGTGTGTGTGTGTGTGTGTGTGTGTGTGTGTGTGTGTGTGTGTGTGTATGTATATGTAAAAAAATAAATATTTTTTTACATTTTTTTTTATTCTTTATTTTTGGTGTGCAAAAAGATACATACCATCTTGTCATGCAACAACAGCACCAACACAGAGTATAAAACTTAGCTTACATTTAACATGGCATTGCAAACATAACATGCACATTTTTTTTAGAGTGATTATAAGTAGGGAGGCATGTGAAATCTTAGATTAAGGTCTACGCTCATTCGTAGAGAAAATTATCTAGACTAGAGAGGAACAATAGTAAAAGGAAAGTAGCAAGACTGATGTTGTCAAGTAACTGTCGTTGTGATTATCCCCTAGGAGGCCCACCAGGTAGATATTAGCAGACTTTCTTAACTTTGGGCCCAAATACAGTGCAATGACCATCTGTACCATGTATATGAAAAAACTGATTATCCAAGGCAAAGGTGTAACTAATAAAATAAGAAATAATAGGCTAATGGGTGAGGGGAAAAATTAATAGCAGAGAGTCCCACCATGCAATTTTATTTATTTTTATATTTGTGTGTGTGTGTGTGTGTATGTATATGTATGTGTGTATGTGTATATATATATATATATATATATATATATATATTTTACATATGTAACTATTAATTTTACATAATTATTTGATTTTATTAATTATAATTTGAGTGACCTGCCTGACAAGCCAGGCAGACAGTCCAGAGAATTTAATTGGCAAGCCCTATATTTAACCATGTAAATTTCCAAAACACCATAAAACTAGTGATGTCCCGAACGTTTCGCCGAACAGTTTGCCGCGGACGGCGAACATATGCAAGCCTCAGGCAGCGCAGCACTGCTGTATGGCCGGTGGCCGGATTTGAGTGACCGGCAGGAGGGAAGCGCAGAGCGCTCCCTCCTGACGTTCTCTCAATGTAGCGTGGCATAGCGTCGCGGAACGCGGGGCAGGAACTTCTGTTTCATGTACCCGTTTGCGTGCGGACTGACAGGAAGTGCTCACCCGGTGAGTGCTTCCCTTCAGTCGGCCGGGTACAGGAAACAGAAGTTCCTGTACTGCGGTTTGCGCCGACTGGCCAAGCTACATAGGCACGAGGGAAGAGGAGGGTAAGGGGGGGTAAGGACCACTGGGGAGGGCGGGGAGTAAGGACCACTGAGGGAGAGGGGGTAGGGGTAAGGACCACTGACAGAGGAGGGGGGGTAAGGACCACTAAGGGGTTTGGCAGAGGGAGGACCACTAAGGGGGGGGAAGGGCCACCAAAGGGGGGGTAACGAGGGGGGAGGTCCACTAAGGGGTTTGGGAGAGGGAGGACCACTAAGGGGGGAAAGGACCACCAAAGGGGGGTAAGTAGGGAGGACCACTAAGGAGAGGGGAGGAGTAAGGACCACTTGGGGGGGAGGAGAGGATAATGACCACTGAGGGGGGGGAGATTACCACTAAGGGGGTGGGTGGGGAGGTCTACTAAGGGGTTTGGGAGAGGGAGGATCACCTAGGAGGGTAAGGACCACTAAGAGGGTAGGACCACTAAGGGGGGAGAAAGGAAGGACCACCAAAGGGGGAGAAAGGAGGGGAAGGACCACTAAGTAGAGGGGAGAGGGTAAGGACCACTGGGGGAGAAGGTAAAGACCACTAAGAGGGGGAGAAGGGGGCAAGGACAAATAAGGGGTTTGGGGGAGGGAGGACCACTAAGGGGGGGGAGTGAGAAGACCACCAAGGGGGTACTGCAGAGGGACAGGAGGCCAAGGGAGAGCACTAAGGGACAGAAGGGGAGAACATTGAGGGGACAGGAGGGAAGGGGAGACCACTAATTGACAGGAGGGGAGAGCACTATGAAAAAAACAAATAGCTGCTCCCCTCTCAGTCCCTATCCTACCCCACAAACCCTCTCTTTTACATTACACACATACACAGTGCATCCCACCCACACACACCGAAACATACAATGCATCCCTACTCACACACACAATGCACCCCTTACATACACACACTGCATTCAATTACATACAAAGAAACACACATTGCATCCCTTACACACACACACATACACACACATACAATGCATTCCTCATATGCAAACACACACTGCATCACCTATACACACACATCTCTTACACAAATTGGTATCCCTATACACTATATTCTATAAGAACACACACATTACATTCTCTACAATAGCACATAACACATCCCCTACCCACATACACTCCACGCCCTGTGAGAGAACTCATGGTTGGGCCATGTAGGTGGATTTATGGGTGGACATTGTAGGCATACTCACGGTCAAGCCCTGGGGGCCCAGACCTTGAGCTGTGTAAGGGGCCCCAAAAATGGAGCTGATTCCTGTTCTTTAATTGTTGTGAGCACTGTTACAAACAGTCTCCAGAGAGCCTCTTCTACACCAGACATGTGGAGCCAGACTGCAGCCTGAGCCCATCATCATCATCTTGTCCTCATCTGGTGGTATGTAGGCAATCCAATATATTATTAGTGGCACTAATCTCTAATTTACCTCACATTAAATGGATACAATAGTCACCAGAAGCACTACAGCATAATGTAGTGGTTTTGGTGTCTATAGCTTGCGACTGTAGGCTTTTTAATGTAAACACACTGTCTTTTCAGATAAAAGACACTTTGTGCAGACTGGTGTTGGCCCATATGGCAGAGCATATGGGCGGGGCATTGTGATGTCACATGATGGGCAGGACATATGGGGGGGCAGTAAAAATCCTTGCACCTGCCCTGACCATACGGTCTCAAAGGCAACATAGGCCCAGCAAACCAACCTTCAAATTTCAATGTGAAAACATGGAAAAGGGGAAAGCCCTACATTTGACCACCGTAAGTTTTCAAAAAACCATAAAACCTGTACATTGGGGGTACTGTTGTACTCATGAGATATTTCTGTAGAATCCAATGGTATTATGACATTCACAGTTAAAATGTCACGCAGAACTTGAAAAATAAAATTTCTTTTTTAGATTGTATTCATCTTAAATTATGCTTCATATATAAACATTTGATATGAAATGAAACTCCTGTTTCCCCTGAATAAAATTTTATATAATAAGTGTGGGTACACTTAATATGAAAGAGGTGCATTATGGTTGAACCACATATAGCGCAAATTCCAGATTTTGTTTTTATGTTTTGTTTTGATCACAACTTGTACAATTGGCTCCATCCTTTAAGGGTTAAGACAATATAAATATTTTTCATAAAATGCAATACAAAATTGTATTGTGCAATATAACATCCGTGTACAACAGTGATGTCTTAAATGAGGTGTAAAACGGTTTGTGCTCACCATAAAATAAAAGCGCACTTACAATATTTGCAACTCAGTAGTAGTATTTCTCTCTAACGTTCAAAGTATTGTTTATATTGTATATACTTTAAACGTTTGAGAGAAATATCTACTATTGAGTTGCGAATATTGTAAGTGCTCTTTTATTTTATGGTGAGAAAAAAAAATGGTTTTACACCTCATTTAAGACATCACTGTTTTTTTTTTTTTTATATTGTTTAAAAGAAACCGCGCACGTTTTTGTTATTTTAAGTGTTTTGTGAGCTATTTGCACTTTTAAGGTTGCAGCTTTTAATCACACATGAAGTGGTGTTTATATATTTATAAAACTTCTATTGTAGACATTTGGTTAGCGCCTATTTTACTTGTGTTTTTTTTTTTTCTGGTACACATACTGTTTTGAGATATGTTGCGTACTTTAAAGTACTTTTTATGTTTCTTCATCATTTAGTTGTTTTATGTTTCTTTATAACACTTTTACTTTTTCTTTTATTCTAGCTTACTTTGCCAACCTGGTAGGAAAATGCAGAATTAAATACAAGGTGATTCCTCCTGCAGTAACAGGTTCTCCAGAATTTGAGAGAACCCTCAGAGCACAGTAAGTCCTGGAAAAACTAAAAAAAAAAACTAAAATACATTTTTATTACTATTCCATAAACTTCACCTGTGTTTCAATGTCCATGAAGTCCCTTATTTTTCTAGGGGAAAATCCGTGTTTTTATTTTAAATTTTTTTTTTTAATTTCCTTACCTAGTGTTTCAGTTTACTTTTTCCTTATTAAAGGAATACTCAATTGTTGGTTTTCAACACTTTATAAAGCTTTGCTACACTGTGAAATTTGACTCCTAGCTGAATGGTTGGCTTGCACCAGTGCCCCTCAACCTTTTCTCATCCAAGACACACCAGAGCTCTCCCCAGAATCCTGCATCACACCACAAGCAAACTTTATATTTGTGTGTGTGTGTGTGTGTGTGTGTGTGTGTGTGTATGTATGTATGTGTATATATATATATATATATATATATATATATATATATATATATATATATATACACACACATATATTAGTGTGTGTTTATAATGTATGTAACAAGGTACATACACAGAACAGTGTCACTTTGCCCCACAGAACATGGCACAGTATGTTTGCCCATTAAAAAAAAATCCACGCTCATATCTCAAGCTGGCTTTAACTCCTCTTGTGATGTACAAAAGGAACTAGGACCATTTGCATATCAGACCTATTCTACTTAAAAGGGCGGTATAGATTCAAAATGCAGGCTGTATCTTTTTGCACAAGAGATAAAGTAACCCCAGATAATCATTCAGCCTTATGCCTCGTTAGGGAGGTGTAGCTGATACCCCTCTAGGCACCGTGAGCAAGTTGGCCATGTCTGGATTACGTTTTAAACTTGAAGGAAAAAAAAAAAACACACTTTTTTTTTTTTTTTTTTAAATGTAATTTTGGTCTTTTAGTAGATAGATAGCTCCCTAATCTTTGTGGGATTGCATTCATTGCATTTCATTTGTCCGAATGAGAATTCACAACTAAATAATGTCAATAGCTATATATTCCAACTGGGGGAAAAAAATTAAATCGCTGTGTATTAAATCAGCACAGATCAACGTTTTGTTCCTACCAAGTCTTAATCAAGATCTCGATAAAGACCTAGTAGGGTTGAAATATTGATTTATGCTGATTTAATATATGGAGGGATTTATTAAAAATCAGAGTGCTGGGGCGTGGCTAACCGCCGAGCTTAATGGTCGCTTGAACCCGAGCTCCGGCTACTGAGGCCGACAATCCATCACAATCCGACTGCTTAGGACCTGCAAATTGCCACAATATAGGATGGCACAAACTAAATCAAAGAAAACTGCTGCAAAAAGCGAAAAATTAAATTTTTTTAACAACAGACTACAACCAGATGCCACGGAGCAGATGCGGCCCTCGCAAGATGGCGGCGCCAGCCCGAATCCGCGAGATCCACAACAAGACACAGAACTGGCTACACAAACCGACCAACTTACCAAAAGCTACCTGCAAGTAGCGCTTGACAACCTATCCCAGAAATTAATCATGTCCTGGCAACATTCCATGGACTCACTGCGAAGGGATGTACAAGAGATAAACAAACGGACAACACACGTCGAGTCCAAAATGGATGCTTTTGCTGTAGCACATAACGATCTTGCGAGTCACGTAGAGCATATGGAGCAACAACTTAAAATGACTGAAGTGAAACTAGCGGACCTTGAAGATCGTTCCAGAAGGAACAACCTGCGGCTGCGGGGAGTCCCGGAATCGATCGGGCCAGAAGATTTGCAGGCATTCGTAAGAGGCCTCGCTAAGGCCTATGCACCTGATATACCGGGGGAGATGCTGCTTCTGGACCGGGTTCACAGACTCCCAAAACCAAGGTACCTGCCAGAAACTGTGCCAAGAGATGTACTCACGCGAGTGCATTATTACCATATAAAGGAGCTAATACTGCGATCAAGCAGGAATAAATCTGCTCCACATCCCGACTACCCCTCAGTAAAAATATTCGCAGATCTATCTGCTACTACACTGAAAAAAAGAAAGGATCTTTCCCACATAGCGGACAGCTTAAGAACAAATGGCATGAGATTTCGATGGGGGTACCCTACAAAAATGATCATCTCCCGAGAGGGCAAACTACATACTATCTCCTCACCAGAAGACGGAGTGAAACTCCTACAAACCTGGGGTATTACGTGCAAAGCAACAGAGAAAGGGGACATGTCCTCCCGCCGACTACAGGTAGAATGGAACAAGATACCAGCACACCGAGCTGACTAAAACCATTGCTAAAGGGAGAAGATGACCTGTAAACTAAATTAACATACACCACCTAGGCATTCGATGTGCCTTAAACCTCTGGAAGGAACCCCAAAAACTCTGACTTTATACAACATGACTCAGAACAGTGAATATGATTAATGGAAACTATCACCCACGAGACACGACGACATGGATACTACAGTGACCTCAAGAACGCCTGGGGCTTCAGACGCATAAAAGAATGATCCCTCCTTGCAAACACAGAGAACAAATTCACAGATGAGATCAGGAAAGCACTGGGACATTGAAGAACTCATAGTTGCAGTCTTTGCTTGCTTGAGGGTTCAGGTACCACACGAACATGTGCACTGACATAAGGGATACAACCTCCGTATCCCATGATATTCAATTAACCCAGTGCTTACCCTTTGCCCCCACATAACTACTTTTACAAGGAAATGCTGTCTGCAGCATCATTCCGAATTTCATATAGATCATAGCTTAATACAATACAAGATAGGAGTCCTTAGTTATCCAACAGGGGACAAAAGGGTAAGGCGGGGCGTTTGACAACTGCTAATTAATCACTCTGCTCACGGTATTAGCGACATGCGAGCAGGCAATATCCGGACACTGAAATGCTCAAAAAAAAAAAAATACCCCACATACGAACACATGTCTATTACCCCCTATTATTGAACACATCAGTACAAGGTATATTGAAGCCGAGATAGGGAGTACCTGAATTGTAAAAGTATAAGCTATACTGAGCAACCAATGGAGCTAAATCTATTCCCCATGGTGATAGATGCTAAGGGTTACTTGTTAATTGTCAACTGTAGAAATGTATTAATATGTTTAGAATTTTTGCTGCATCGGGTTATTGCAGAGTTACCCACGACGGGTAAGAGGTCCCCCCCCAGAGAACACACTAAAACTAACATGGGTCACCACCCACAGAACCAGGTCCTATGCTATATATACAGAATGTTAAGGCCGTTAGCCACCCACACAGATATTTTGATATCTACCCCCCATGGCTCCGCAGATGGGCGCCATGACCCCTCATGGGGTAAGTTATAATGAACCAAGTTACACCCATCCCAACCACCCGCAACATACCTATCCTTCCCGTACTCCTAGTGCATATGACGCTACAAAAGCTCCCCTACTATGTGACACACACCTACAAAAGCCACTTCTGCTAAACAGGTGGGTTAAGACAATACAGACAAGACATCACACAGACTATACGGAAATAAGGTCAAGACAACCTGAGTGGCCTGTACGCAACATCTTCTCATTCACAAATGAGTGTGACAATACAATCTCATAATGTAAGGGGCCTTAACACCCCGCATAAACGGAGAGTACTTTTAGAAACAGCGAAACGCAATCATATAGATATCCTATGCATACAAGAGACGCACTTTAAACATCATAAAGTCCCAGATTTTGGCACAAGAGACTTTCCCACCCAATTTCATGCGACTCACTCCTCCAAATCCAGGGGAGTATCTTTCCTTTTTCATAAATCTCTCACGTTTGAACTGTTGCAACTCAAAAGAGACACACAAGGCCGATATCTTATAATCTATTGTACTATTAATACTATTAAATACACATTAGTAGGGATCTATAGCCCAAATGTTAACCAAAAGAATTTTTTGCTTAAAGTCCTTAACAAAATTCCAATCAGACAAAAAACCTCAATGCTGGTATGTGGAGACATGAATCATGTTCTACACCCGGTAGCAGACACATCTCTCGCCCAGGGCGCCCCCAGGTCAAAACTCCTCGCACAACAATGCAAAACATTAAACAAAGCAATCCTAGAACACAATCTATACGATATATGGAGAATACAACACCCGACTGAAAGAGGTTACTCATATTTCTCCCACATTCACAAAACCCACTCTAGAATAGACATGATTCTCGTTACTGCAGACATCTTACCAAAAATGACAAACAGTGAGATTGGGGACATAGTGTGGTCTGACCATGCTCCAGTGTCAGTCAGGTTGCAAACTAACTTTGACCACAAAGGGAAACCCCCGTGGCGATTAAATGACGCCCTAATCATGCATAAAGACTTCCGCACTCAACTAAGTCACGACATGCGTGAATATTTCCAAAATAATACTTTACCAGAACTGGAACCCACAACCACCTGGCAAGCTCATAAAGCAGTCGTCAGAGGGATCTTAATCAGTAGAGCGGCATATATAAAAAGAACTAAGGAACAAAAATATCTGGATTCATTAAAAACACTAAGGGACTTACAAAAAGCCCACTACCTAACCCCTACAGCAGACTTGGCTCAGGATATAATATCTATCACAAAAAACATAAATGAGCTACTCCTAGACGAAACAGCACATATGCTACAGAGACTGAAAATACGCTCTTACACTCAAGGCAATAGAGCCGGCAAGGCTTTGGCATCGCTCTTAAGACAGAAACAAGCCCAAACAAAAATCCCATACCTACATAATAAAGTAGGAAGAAAACTGCATGATCCACGGGAGATCCTAACAGAGATGGCCAACTTTTACGAAACACTATACAACATAAAGCGAGACCCCCAGACATACCAACCGTCCGTACACGACATCCAAAACTTCTTATCTAATATCTCTCTGCCTAGCTTAACAGAAGACCAAAATAAAAGGCTTTGCGACCCTGTCACATTGTCTGAAATCCTACAAATAATCAAATCACTTCCCCCAGGCAAATCACCGGGCCCGGACGGTCTTACTAATTCTTATTATAAAACATTTAGCCACATTGTAGGACCACATTTAGTAGACACATTTAACCACATAATTTCCACGGGCAAGATGCCACAGGATATGCTGATGGCACATATAGTTACCCTGCCGAAGCCAGGCAAGCCCCCAACTAAACCCCAAAACCTACGGCCCATATCCCTCTTAAATACAGATACCAAAATCCTAGCCAAACTATATGCCACAAGAATAGCAGATATGCTACCTACAATAATCAAACAAGATCAAGTGGGGTTCGTTAAAGGCAGACAAGGGGCCGAAGGCACAAGAAAGCTATACAATTTACTTTACACAAAGCAACGGCGGGGAGAACCCAGTGTATTCCTGTCACTCGACGCTGAAAAAGCGTTTGACAGGTTGCACTGGGGCTTCCTGCAAGAAACACTTCGGAAATTTAAGTTTCCACAACCATTTTTAAATCTAATAACGGCATTATATTCCAAACCCTCTGCTAGAGTGACAAATGGAGGTTTCGCATCACAACCCTTTTTTATAACCAATGGGACTAGGCAGGGTTGCCCACTGTCACCACTCCTTTATATCATAGCACTGGAGCCGCTGCTACAGACTATTAGAGACGAACCACAAATCACGGGCATAGCAAGAGGAGGAAGGGAATACAAACTAACAGCATTTGCTGATGATGTGATGCTATCACTGACTAACCCACAACTCTCCATTCCAACTTTTAATACTTTACTAAAAGCATACAGCGACTGTTCATATTACAGGCTCAATGCGACTAAGACACAAGCAATGAGCCTATTCACGACACCGGAGACAAACAGTATCCTACAACAAACCACGGCCTTTGAATGGAGAAAAGATTACCTTACTTTCCTTGGTATAAAATTCACAACTCACACACACAAATTGCTCCAAGCCAATTATAACACACTTCTCCACTCTATCAACACCCAACTTAAAGGCTGGGAAAACAAATATATCTCATGGACTGGGAGAGTAGCCGCCGTCAAGATGATGGTTCTTCCCAAGCTCCAATATTTATTCCGCACCCTCCCCATACAGTTACCTGCAGCATACATTAAAGACGCACAGAAAACAATTAACGCCTTTGTCTGGGCAAAAAAACGGCCCAGGGTTGCAGCACATATACTTTACCTACCGCAAAAAATGGGGGGAATGGGCCTCCCAAACTTAGATCTATATTATAAAGCGGCGATAGTTGGCACACTAGTGGCTGTACTCCGCTCTTATTCCATGCCTCCGGCGTGGGTACACTTGGAAGCATCACACACAGAGGGATACGACATTGCAACACTAGCGGGAATAAGTGAAACTCACAGAAAAAAGTTTCGAGACATTTCCCCTATAACGTCCTTAACACTGAAAGAATGGGATAAATATACAAAATTCTTGAATCTTGACACGAAGCTACCACCAACAATGCTCCTACGCTCTTTTGAAGCACTGATCCCACAACTAAATATTAGAAAATGGTCCACTGCAGGCTTAACACATTTACACCAACTCATGGATAATGATAAATACATAGCCTTTACTTCACTACAAAAAGAGTTCCAACTACCACCTGCAGCGGAGTTCGCACATAGACAGATAATATCGTGGATAGGAAGAAATAGAGGGTCACCATACACCGCAGAAACAAAGAGAAATATGGAGGCACTACGACAACTGTGCACTAACTCTAATAAAACAGCTGGTATCCTCTCCAAAGTATATAGCAGTTATTTACCCATAAAAAAGATAAGAGACCTGACCTTTATTAAAAACTGGGAATATGACATAGGGAAACAATTACCAGACGAAAACTGGCGTAAAAGTTTCATGGCCCATAAACACCTAACACTATCCACAGCCCAGATAGAAATGTCGAGAAAAATGCTGTACAGATGGCATATGGTACCCACCAAGCTGAAACACATTGACCCGAAACATACGGGGGCGTGTTGGAGATGTGGTGACGCCACAGGGGATGTCATACATATTTGGTGGACATGCCCTGTCATTACAAAACTATGGAGATCAGTACATTCCCTTGTGCAACAAATAGGAAAGATGGACGTGGCATTCATGCCTGAGATATTCCTTCTGCAACATATGCCACAAGGCCTCTTAAAATCCCAACAATACCTACTTTTCCATGTAACCATAGCGGTGATAACAGCTATGGCCAAGGCGTGGCTTCAAAAGGACCCCCCACTATTAGACACAATAGCCTCACATCTAGATAATATTAGACTTTATGAATGTACGGTGCGAGCACACAGGGCGCCACAAAAGTTTTGGATAGACGCATGGCAAATGTGGGACGCATATAGGCACCCTAAAAAACAAGGTGGAATATAGACATGGAATGAAACAAATCAGATGAGAGACAAGACACAATCTCTGGAAAACGAGCGAAATATGTACAGGGGAAATACCGAGAACTTATGTTCTCCCCCCCCCCTCCCCCCTTCCCACCACCCAGTTCACGTTACGTTTAGTTTTAGCTTTAGTTATTGTTCTCAACATAGATAAAAACAGGTACGAACAAAAGAATCATCAGGAGTAAGACGATATACATATAACATTGACACCCTGGACTGGTGGACAAATTAAGCCACAGCCAGAGGGGGTAAGGGAAAATGAGAACATGGAGCTCAAACTTGTATAGCTACCCCAACTGGCAGTGTTGTTTTGCTGTACTACATTTACCGGGTATACTAGTAATGAATGCTGAGTTTGAGCTTAACTTTTATTTTTACACCTTGTGATACTGGAGGATATGTAAAACTTGGACAGTATGTAAACACTGGAACAGAATTAATTTTTATGTAAACTGAATGTAGAGGATACCATTGTGAAAACTGATGATTGTACATACCGAAAATGCACATTTACTGTTTGTACCTCATAAACTACAATAAAAAAAAATAAAAAAAAAAAAAAAAAAAAATCAGAGTGCTTCTTTTTTTCACTTTATATTTCTTCATTGTTTATTGAGCGTCAAGTTATTAAACAATACGATTTTGCAAGAATGGTAACCTAACCAGACAGGAGTAGCGTACATAAATACAAAATCTTTTTGAAAGACCATATTGTATAGTGATCAGAGGATTAGTCCTCATGACCACATTTTGTTTCTTTATCATCATGGCTAAGATTTATTTTTAACCTTCAATACAAAGAAAAATAAAGCCTTGAAAGAGAAATAAATGCAGTGGGGAAAGATTGTGGGAGAAGGGGATGGGTACCGATATTCCACCAAGGAGGAGTGAGCGAAGAGAGCCACCAATCTCCTATAGGGAGACCCACCCCCGACTTCCAGAGAGCCCAGAAGTTCTGTGTGGACAAAAAGATTGCAAAGATCCCTCAGAAATCAGACTCATTGTAACCAAATGGACATATACCATTGCTGTAGTGGATAAAACCAGTTTTTCAATCAATAAAATATACTCTCCCTTGAAATCCAGTCCTTAATTGATGGGGCAGAGTCTCTCATCCAGTATGCCGCTATAAACTGCGGGCTATATTTATGAAGTATATAATGACCTATGGAGTGTGGGTACAAGTGGAAGAGAGAGACCTCTGTGGAGAAAGGCAGGGGAGAGTCTGTCAGTTTCAATAGAATTTTATGTACCGTATATACTCGAGTATAAGTCGACCAGAATATAAGTCGAGGCCCCTAATTTTACCCCCAAAAAACTGGGAAAACTTATTGACTCAAGTATAAGCCTAGGGTGGGAAATGCAGCAGCTACTGGTAAATTTCTAAATAAAATTATATTAATTTAATATATTTATTTACAGTGTGTGTGTGTGTAGTGTGTGTGTATATAGTGAATGCAGTGTGTGTGTGTGTATGAATGCAGTGTGTGTATGAATGCAGTGTGTGTGTGTATGTGATGCAGAGTGTGTAACCTTGGTGGGGTGAGGGCATTTTTATTATTTTTTTTTTTTATTATTATTTTAATATTTAATTTTTTTAATATTACATTTTTATTTTTTTATTATAATATTTAAATTTTTATTTTATTTTTTTTCGTCCCCCCTCCCTGCTTGATACATGGCCAGGGAGGGGGGGCTATATTATTCCCTGGTGGTCCAGTAGATGGGCTGTGCAGGAAAGGGTCTGAGAGCAAGCTGTTACTTACCTTTACAGCAGCTCCGTTCAGCTCCCTTCTCCTCCATACCGTTCAGCTCCACAGTGTAAATCTCGCGGTATGCGTGCCGCGCGGAGCGTTGCCACGGTAACCCGTGGCAACGCTCTGACGACCGCGGGTCTCGCGAGATTTACACACGGAGCTGAACGGCACGGAGTAGTAGGGAGCTGAACGGAGCTGCTGTAAAGGTAAGTAACCGCTTGCTCACAGCCCCTAATAAGGCTTGAGCCCGTTGATCCTGGTCTGTACTATGGCAATGTAAGTTGCCATAATACAGGCACTGACTTGAGTATAAGCCAAGGAGGGCTTTTTCAGCACAAAAAATGTGCCGAAAAACTGGTCTCATACTAGAGTATATAGTATATACAGGTATTTGTTTCCATAAAGGTTTGATGAGAGAGCATTTCCACCAGATATGTATATGAGTTCCTAGCTGTTTGTCACATCTCCAACACTACTAGTTTACTGAAGGACAGTAGGCTGAGATGCTTTCGGGGGTCTTTTACCAATGAGTGAGAATTATATATCCAGTTTCCTTATATCTGGTGCATATGGATGATTTATGGGGAAGTATAAAAATCTTATTCCAATGTCTCTCCTCTGTGGTATTGTCAATGAGGGCTAATATTTTATGAGATAGAAAATATATTGACACTGAATATACAAATGCCAAAGAAATCCACACACCACTCTCTTAGTCCCAAAAAGGTGAGTGTATACAATACTTGTAAATACAGAAGTATATGCTGGTAGTATTCCGTATACTTGGACCCTACAATAAAATAAAACAGTACATAGTGTAGACTGTATATGATAATAACAATAATAAAAATAAATGGATCCACTCACGAATTTCAGAGCCGTGCCAGGCTCTGTGTAGAATGCCCAAGGGTGCCTATACAGGCTAGATGCAGAATCTTCACAATATCCCTCAGAGGTAGGAGAAACAGCAAAGATGATGGAAAGATAAATAGATTTATTGCAAATAAAAATGTATAAAAACAACTAAACAAGTTGTATAAAATAATGCAAAAAGTAATACAATGTTCAACTAATATTTTATGCTTTGAGGATCACCTGGGTAAACCATGGATTAATTTGAGTTTATGTAGATTGTTGCAGTAGGATATGCTATATCCGCTCTCTCTCTAATACATATTCTTACTATTCCATTTAAACAGAATTTACTTTGGAAAGTAGTTTGTCTGTTAACATATCACTGCGTATGTAGCCACATGTATACCATGATATTTCTAGGAACTGATCCAGGCCAAGTTATGATTTCATTCTTTTTCAGACATGGCACTACCTAATGGGAATAAAATGTCTTCACATACATATGGAGATGTGGCATTGGGCAGAATGTGTGAGTTCACAGAGATTGTGACTGGAAGCAGGGTCTGAAGAGTGAAGAACAAGTATTAGAACGTGACTGATTATAATGGTCGGAATGTCATGTCAAAGTAGCAGAAATCTGATTCCTTATAATTATCTTATGGGTCTTTGGTCTTAGTGCTATCAGAACTGTGTTTTATGTTGGAATGTAGGCCCAGTTATTATGACTATTGGGTAAACATCTGTTTTGTTTTGTTCATTAGACAGAACTGTATTGAGTTCTCTGCAATATTCCTGATTGACCTTTGGACTGCGGGCTGGTTCTGCAATCAAGGTAAAATCTTAATTGTATATTACATTTAAAATTGGACAGTGTATTGTGGAACTTGATGTTATTAAACAACATAACTTTAACTGAACAATTAGATAGAAATACAGCCTAGGTAAACTCAAAGCAGGGGGATAACCCCTAGTGGAAATGCATATCAAAAGAAAGAGGAGAGAATACCTATTAGAAAAGGTGAATACGCTATCACTAAATATAAGCTGTACGTGTGCAGACCAAGTATCTTTGTTATTTGAGACATCAGCTATACTCTCCCATTTTGGGGTCATTGTATTGTATGTTTGATCTTAATAGTCTATTAGTGTTCCATTCTTTATTACTTTTTAATACTTATACCCAATAAAGTTATTTGTTATTTTCATTTTATATTTGTTTTATTACTATATGTACTTTACCTGTACAGCTTATATTTAGTGATAGCGTATTCACCTTTTCTAATAACATAACTTTAACAGTGCAAATATTTCAAATAGTACATAATGTTATTTATTCCTGCTACATATACAGGTATGTCAAATATATAAAAAATGTTTGTTTGTCTTATTGATGCCATCCTGTTTCCCCTCTCCCTCCTCCTTCCCTGATCTCCGTCCCTTGCTCTCTTTTCTTTCTGGCTTTTCACTGCATAAGTTCATTCTTGATTGTTTGACCACTTTGTGTATGGCACTTAGATTTACATTTTTTTATGTATACCACATCTCTTACTTTATCATCATGCCTGCGTGAAATTCACATGTTCAGGTATATATATTTTAGATAATGTGTTTCCTCATTTTTGGGCCTTATGCTATCCCATAATGGCTATTTGTAAAAAGAAAAGGAAAACAGGTTGCATCTGATGACAAAATAATTACTAAGCAAGAAAAACAATAGTATAAATAATATAATATACTAGGCTAGAGAACTGTGCAATAGTGATGCCGCGAACGGTTCGCCGCGGACTCATCATTGAGTAAACTTTGACCCTGTACCTCACAGTCAGCAGACACATTCCAGCCAATCAGCAGCAGACCCTCCCTCCCAGACCCTCCCACCTCCTGGACAGCATCCATTTTGAAGCTGCATTCTTAGTGAGCTGTCCAGGAGGTGGGAGGGTCTGGGAGGGAGGGTTTGCTGCTGATTGGCTGGAATGTGTCTGCTGACTGTGAGGTACAGGGTCAAAGTTTACTCAATGAGGAGTCAGCAGCGAACCGCTCGGCGAACCGTTCGGGACATCACTACTGTGCAATAATAAAAATAGTCAAGTACAGTCCTAGGTATAGTATACATTCTTTTGGAGGGGAGGGGGGAGAGATCGAGCTTCTTATAGTCACTTGAAGTGTGTCCATGAGCACATATAAAAAAACAAAAACAGAAGACCGGAAGGATCCAATAGTGCAGTAGGTCTCAACAAATGTAACACAAACATACACACAGATACGTAATTGCCAACTCACATGAAATGGAGCTTAAACCCAGCTCCCGTGTATACAGTGTGTAGTGGTATAAATATCAATTTATGGATACATAAATGTCTTGATGTTACTTTCAGCAACAAAGCTGTGAAGACCATAGTAAGCAAAAACTAGTCCATGTTTGTTGCGTGCGTGGTATAATCCCCATCTCGGATTTTTTTTGTCCAGTCATCCACGATGCAGAAAATGGTTTTAGGATGCCGCTGCAAATACAAGTATAAAAATGATAAAATGACAAAGGTATAAAATTTATGGCAACACCAATAGGTAAAAGCCAAAAGATACTTTATTGCTAATAAAATAAATAACAGAATCAAAGTTTACAATCCACGTGTTTTTCCTAAAGTTTATATCAAGGTGAATTACAATACCTGGCATACAGGTTAATATATGGTCACAGAACAATAGAAAATTCGAAATCGGGTTAAAAATTAAGTCATAGTCACGTGATCGTGATCACATGACTGTGTGGAAACTATTCCTATAGATAATGTATGAAACTAAAATAAGCAAGGATAATATGTAATCAAGTGGACAGCTAAACAAAAGTTGGAAGTGATAGATTAAATACATTTTAAAAATCATAAAATGGCAGGACAAAACAAATCACATGACAAGCCAAAACTGCTTTGAGACAGTGTAGTAAATAGGACCCGAAAGGGTCTGTGGGGAATGTAGGCTAAGGGAAGGTAGAGAACCTTAATGAATGGAAGGTCAATATTGAACAGAAGGAGAAAAACCATCTGACTTCTGGTCAATATCTTTCTCATATCAATTTTATGGTGATTTTCTTTAGAACACTAACCCCCCCCCCTCCCCCCTTTTTTTTTTTTTTTTTTTTAACTGGGTTTTTAATTTGAAAACCATAGAACCTGATGGTCATAATGCAAAGTTTGAATTGTGTTAATTTCCTTTTAAGCTCCACTTTTTCCATTTTGTTGCTATATACTTTTAGGTTTTATTTTACTTTTATGTTTATATGCAGACACACTACCCGTGATTTTCATGTTTTTTACTTTTTATGTGTGGTTTTTGGCTTATTGTTTTTATTTATACTTTTTTAATATAATTTTATGTTTTGCTTTTGAAATATATATATATATATATATATACATTCCAACCTCCAGTCAAAAAAATATATAGCCGGTGCCAAGTTTTTTTTTGTTCCTGTCCTATCCCTATGACAGACTAAGTCATTCTAGAGAATTTTTTATTTTTGGCTTACCTGAGGGTTGTTACTGTCTGCCTCAAGCGAGTTCAGCCTCTCTTCCTTGGGAAGTCTTCAGTACACGTCCCTGTGCAAAGATGACCCCATGAAGATACCCCTTTAGTGACCAGGGGGTTTTACTAGAAATGACCCTAGAGGTAGCAAGATCATGCCATCACCATAATTCCTGCAGTGATGCAAGGGGTAGCAGGCTGGGTATTCACTTACAGAGCAAATGGGTTTACTTGCTTTGACATTAGGGGTAGAACGATCATCCTATCACCCTATTTCCTGCAGTGAAGGGGCAGCAGGCTGGACATGCACATGCAGAGCATATGTATTTGAAGGATTAACCCCTAAGTGACCGCAGACGTACAGGATACGTCAGACAAAAAACTGTTGTTAATGACCGCTGCCGTACCCTGTACGTCCGTGGCAAATATGAGTGCTGGATGCGATCGTGATCGCTTCCAGCCACGCTATGGGTATTGCAGCAATGCCTCGATGTTGAGGAATCCTGCAATACCCCCCAGACTGCTGGGCCGCCGGGTGATCACTTCTAGGTTGCTCCACGTGGCGCCTGGCAGTGAGGCAGAGCATCGGAAGCCATCAGGCAGGCTTCCGATGCTCTGCCTGTCTGCTAAGTGCCCAGAGGGGTCGAGGCATTCAGTAAAATAAATAAAAATATAAAAAATTCAAAAAAATAAAATATGTGATAATCCCCCCTCAGGACCTTGGACGTAACTAGGTATTCCTAAATTACTTACCCGATCGCCGCCATCCCCCCGCCGGCAATCAGTCTTCCTCTCTGAAAGCCCAGACAGTTAAAATGTGTCACCCCCCTCCTGCATCCACTATACACACACATTGCATACACTATACATACACACACACACACACACACACACACTGCATCCATTACAAAATACACACACACTGCATCCCCTATACAGACACACAATGCATTCACTACACACACTGCATGCAATCCACAGCCACTGCACCCACTACACATACACTGCATTCACTACACACACTGCATAACCTAATGGATGTGGGCGTTTTTTGTTTGGTGTGGTTTTGTTGGGGATTGGGGTGGGGCAGCATTGCATCATTTGATCTTGCCTTTGGCCGGCCCTGGACTAAGTGGCTACTAAAGAAAAGACTGGACATACCCCATATTGAATATCCTGGGTTGTCTACTTTAAAAAAATATGTACATGTGGGGTGTTATTCAGAGATTGATGACAGGTAACAGTGTTACAATGTCACTATTGATACATTTTAAAATATATATTTAACCTGCAATGTCTTTATACTTATAGCCCTATAACTTTCCAAAATAAGCTAAGAACATGTTAACATTGGGTATTTCTAAACTCAGGACAAAATCTAGAAACTATTTAGCATGAGTGGTTTGGGGGGGGTCAAAGTTAGAAAAAGTGTGTTTTTATTTTTTTATTTTTTTTTTTACATTTTTTCATATTTTATAAAAAAAATTATAGTTAATTATATAATGTTCTCTTTAGAAAGACCATTTAATGTCGAGAAAAACAATATATGTAATATGTGTGGTTACAGTAAATGAGTAAGAGGGAAAATTACAGCTAAACACAAACACAGCAGAAATGTAAAAACAGCCCTGGTCCCAAACGGTAAGAAAATTGAAAAACGGTCTGGTCACTCTGAGACTGGCTAGCATTCCTTTACTGAAAAGGTAATGTACAACTCTGCTATCTTGTACTTTCCCATGGATTTACTTGCAGTGAACCTAAGGGTAGCAAGGTTATGCCATCATCTTATTTCCTGCAATGACCAAGGGGTAACTGGGTGGAGATGCACATACAGAGCGTATGGATTACAAAGATTGTATGAGATGGACTAGCATTCCATCGCTGAAAGGGTTAATATATAACTCTGCTATCTTGTACTTTCCCATGGATTTACTTTCTGTGAATCTAAAGGTAGCAAGATTATGCCATCATCTTATTTCCTGCAGTGATCAAGGGGTAGCAGGCTGGGCATGCACATACAGAGCAGTGACCCTAGAGGGAGCAAGATTATGCCGTCACCCTATTTCCTGCTGTGCCATCACCTTACTTCCTGCTGAGCATATATATGGATATAACCCCTTCTACCCTTGATCGGTTTCATCTGAACGGTAAGAGAAGTTTTCAACACAAGGGAGTATCTCAGTCTGGATCCATTGGGGTTTAAGACACTAGTACCTGGGACTCTGCTCCTAAGTTAACAATGCAGTACTTAGACTGGCTAAATGTTCCACTCTGCCCTTAAACAATGTGAGACTCCATGGAGTAAAGCCTATGTGGCAGCTGGCACAGGCTTTCATCGTGCGCTAAGCTCTTCCCTCAATCTCTAAGGATCTAAGCTTGGTATGGATAATTAGGAGGAGCATATCAGAGATCATTTTCCTTTGTCTTTTGACAATTTACAAGTCCTTAAGCCAGAAATAATCTTCAGCTAAGAAGCCTAGATAGGTTGCATTATATTCTAGCCAGAAAAATGACTTTCTCTGTGTCTACTAGCCGGGCTCTTTGGCTTAGTACTTGGTCCACGGATGCATCCTCCTAAATGATTAGATCAAGAGAATGGCAGAGGGCAGGAAAGCTTGTCTACTTCAAGACCTAAGGTTCAGGAGACCCTTTCCATCCAAGGTCTCTCATTAATTTCCATCCCGGACCAAGGTATTTACACCAGGAAGAGAGTATGGTAGATCTCAATTTTGAGAAGTGGTCATTATTCTACCAGAGGAAGTGAAAAGGTAAAACGATGCTTTGTAAATTTCAGGGCTTCTCTTCAATTAGAGGGAGCTATTGTAAGAAATTTTAAAAGCGTCTAGAACACAAAGATTATGTTTCTAACAGGTGGATAGCAATCTATTCTAGTTTACAGGATTCTTGAACATTCTTCATCATAAAGGTAGTATTCTTAGTGCTTTGGACAAAATCTATGGATTTGTAGGATGCTTATTACCATGTATCTATTGCCCCACATCACCAGATGTTTCTCAGAATGTGTGGAAGGACACTTTTATCTGAAGTCACCTTGCTCCCTCCCAGTTCACGGTATAGCTGGAAACACTGTTCAACACAGTCCAAGGCACAGTACAGCTCTCTTCAGAAAGTGCAGTAAAACTTATCAAGTAGGTAAAGGATGTTGACTGTCATATTGCCTCAGCAAAGGGAGTTTTGATCCAAGTCCTTAACCATAGGTCTGATTAGATGACACAAGGGAGGAGCTTAACTTTCCTATAGAAATTCCTTGAACAGTGATGACTGAATACCATTCACTGGGGTTGAGGAACTTTTCTCCAAAATCGAATACGTTCAGGAAAAGGACACCCTTAAAAGATCACTATATGGTCAGGAACACAAACGTGTATTCCTAACCCTATAGTGCTAAAACCACCATTTAGGTGGCTTGTCCCCCCCTTAAACCCCTTATAAATAAAAGTTTAAAACTTACCTTATTTCCAGCGCTGCGTGGGTCTGTCGGCACTGGCTCTGCCCCCTTTGTGACATAATCAAAATGTCTGATTTTTTTTATTGATTTTTTTTGCCAATCCAATGCTTTCATTGGATTTTTCATTGGATTGGCTGAAATTGGCATGGGGGCTGGGCCAAATGCAATTTTGGCCAATCAGGACCTCCTCATAGATATGCATCTCTATGACGAAAATTCAGCGTCTCCATGCAGAGCGTGGGGACGCTGAACGGCAGGGCTGCTTACTAAGGAGTGGCCACTTGGAGGTGTCCCTTCGGGCAATGTAAACATTGCCTTTTTTTCTGAAAAGTCTGTGTTTGCATGAAATTGCCTGAAGGGAGCTATTATACTCACCAGAACAACTACATTAAGCTGTAGTTGTTCTGGTGACTATAGTGTCCCTTTAACATTCAACGCTTCTCTTCTGCATAGGTTACAAGAGTCAATATCAATCATCCTCACAATTCCATATTGGTACCCAGTCCATGACTTCTGCCTATTTTCTTTAGTGCTGCCATGGGATCTCCCAAAAGAGTTCTTCTCTCTTCCATCAGGTCAGGTGCTACTTTCCTCATTCTGAAAGTTTCGATATGTAAAGGGCTTAAATGTAAGGGTTTTTAAACTGCAGTAATTAATACCCTTCTGAAGGCCATGTAAAAAGTATATCCTTGGCTACCTTTACAAAGTTGGGATGCCTATATTCCTGGTCTATTTCTAATTAGGTTATTATCAGGGCCGGTGCAAAGATTTTTTGGTACATAGGCGAAGATGTATCTTTCCACCCCCCCCAAAATAACATCTTCACCTATGTGCCTCTTAACCAGCCCCTCTCCCCGTCCATTAGTGGTCCCCTCCCTTCCCTGTCCCTTAGTGTTCTTCTAAGCTCTCCCCTCTTTTTCCTGTCCATTGGTGTTTCTCTCCCCTCCCCTCCCTGTCCCTTGGTGCACCCCCCACCCCTTTAGTGGTCGCACTCCCCTTCCTGGTGTGCCTCCTACCTCTCTTGTAGCGTTGCCGAGTGGAGGATATCCCCTACAGGAGCTTCAATTTTCTGTACCTGGCCATACTGACAGGGAGTGCTCGCTCAGTGAGCACCTCCGGTCAGTCTGGCCAGGTACAGGAAACAGAAGCTCCTGTACTGCGCTCCGCCACACTACACTCAGTGGTGTATACACACTGACAGTCACACACACTCAATGACAAACACACAGACTCACTGATCTGACACACACTCATTCATTGACAGACACACTGATACTCACACACAGATTCAATGACAAAGATACTCTCCCTGATTTGGCAGACACTCACAAACACACACTGACAGACACACATACACTGCCACACTCATACACTCACATGCAGTACTCATACAAGCACTCACAGACACACACATACACACTCATACAATCACTCACAGACACACATACTCATGCACACAGTCACTCACAGGCACACAGTCACTCAGGCACACATACACTCACACACAGACACACATACACACACACACAGTCACACACAGACACTCACACACAGACACACACTCAATCACAGACAGTCACTCAGACACTCAGGCACACATACACTCACACACAGACACACACTCACACACAGACACACACTCAATCACAGACAGTCACTCACAGACACACAGTCACTCAGGCACACATACACTCACACACAGACACACACACACAGACACACACTCAATCACAGACAGTCACTCACAGGCACACAGTCACTCAGGCACACATACACTCACACACAGACACACACACACAGTCACTCACACAATCACAGACAGTCACTCACAGACACACACACAGTCACTCAGGCACACATACACTCACACACACAGACACTCACACACAGACACACACTCAATCACAGTCACTCAGGCACACATACACTCACTCAGACAAACAGACACGCATACACACACTCACTAATTATTTTAATAAATAAACATTTTCCACCCAGCCTCCCTACCTGGAGAGCTGGTGTGGATGATGAATCATTCCCTGGGGTCCAGTGGGGCTGCTGGGAGGCGTGCGGCAGTGCTGTGATCAGACGCGGCGAGGGAGCTCTAACCTCTCTGCTCTGCTCCCTCGCGGCTGCCTTCTGATACCGCGGGAGCCGGAATATGACGTCATATTCCGGCTCCCGCGGCATCAGCAGACAGCGCGCGAGGGAGCAGAGCAGAGAGGTTAGAGCTCCCTCGCCGCGTCTGATCACAGCACTGCCGCACGCCGCGCCGGGGGTCGAGATGGTGGCCTGGCAGGAGGGAGAGCTTCCCTCCTGCCGGTCACTGAAATAATGCGCCCCCGAAACCGGTGCGCCCTAAGGCGGCCGCCTGTGCCGCCTTATGGACGCGCAGGCCCTGGTTATTATTCAAACTCATACTACCAAGGGCGTTCTAAATTCTTCAATCCAGGGCTCATCTAGGAATTAGCCACATCACCTCAAAGGTAAAGGGCTTTGATATGGAGGTATCTAAATATCTGGCGGCTTTATTTATATAATCCCTCGGTTAACCATTCCTACCTACTCTGAAATCTTCACCCCTTTTAACCATGGGACTCTATCTGTCTACAACTGCTTAATATTAAGTTAGCTCTGTGACATTAGCATCGGGCTGAAGAATATCAGATCTTCAAGCACTATTTTGCATGAAACCCTTTACTCCCTTCCACAATATATCTAAAGCCTATTGATTAGAATATAGAGTCAGTAATGAAACTTTGAGACTCTATGATTTGCTGGTGGAAATTCAGTCGTGTGGCTGTAGGAAAGGAGTATGAGCCCCCCTCCTGTAAGTTGATTTGGTTGTGGTAGGTCATCTATGGAAGCAAGGTTTCAATTGTTACTCACCTATGCAGAGAGCACTATATTGTCTATTCTTGCTTTCTATGGTCCTCACAGCTTTCACTTAGCTGCTAAAAGTCACATCAAGATGTTTATGTATCCATAAGTGGGGATTTATACCACTACATGCTGTATATACTGTAGCGGGTTTTAAGCTCCATTTCATGTGAGTTGGCAATTGAATATCTGTGTATTGTGTGTGTGTGTGTGTGTGTGTGTGTTATATTTGTTGAGACATACTACACTATTGGATCCTTCCTGTCTTCTCTTTTTTTCATGTGTACTCACGGACACACTTTAAGAGACTATAAGAAGCTTGATTTCCTCCACCCCCCACCCCACAAAAAGAAAGAGAACTATACGTAGTACTGTACTTTACTATTTTTATTATTGCACTGTTCTCTGACCTAGACTGTACCTTATTATGTATATTATTGTTTTGCTTGCTCTTACATCTGCCTAATTATAGTGTTTAGAGAAACTGCTATGTTTACAATAGGGTTAATCCAGCCTCTAGTGGTTGGCGCTTCCGTGCTTCTCACTGTGAAAATCACAGTGAGAAGACACTGATGCCCATAGGAAAGCATTGAGAAATGGATCAGACTTAGCTCTGCAGGGCGGGGGAAGGCTTATAAAGCCTTGCCACGTCCTGCAATTAGGCTCAGAGCACTCTGATTGGTGGGTTTAAGCCATCCAATCCGAGTGCTCTGTGTCATTTTACACAGCGTGGGAAAGTTCTTTGGAATTTTCCCACGCTGTGTAATTTGACTCATAACTCTTTGATTGGTGGATTGAAAGGGGTGGGGGCCAGGGGGGAGGACATTAGGTCCCCCCCTTAAAATCTATTCATGCATGATAGTTGCCAACATTTGAAAACCATTTCCAGGGATCTTTTTGGGGAGATTTTTCAAATGCCGCTGTCACTTTTACATCTAATATTTGGTAAATGATAAATATTTAGTGCAGTTTATTAAATCTACCAGATTTTTAAAAGAAAGCTTTTTTTATTTTTTTGTTTGTGACACAAATTATTTATTAACGCAACACTAGCAAAGCAAACCCCATAGGAAAGAATTGATTCAATGCTTTCCTATAGGGAAGACCTAATGTGTGCGGCGCTCATCTTAGATGTGTCTGGAGGAGGAGGAAGGAAAGTGGGGGAACTTGCCACTCCCCCCTGGATTTTTTAATTTGTGCCGGTATTTTTAGTGAGTGAGAATACTGTGCAATACCGGCGCCGGCCAGTAGGTGGCGCTGTGTATGGAGAGAGGCAGGGATAGGAAGCTACATCTTATCCACGCTTCTCTCTCCTGACTGAATCAGCAGGGGAGCAGCTAGAGACTGTGGCGCCAGCAACTCCGAGCCTGCAGATCAGGTAAGTGAGGGATGGGGGGGGCAGCATAAGATCAGGTAAGTGAGGCATGGAAGACAGCCTATAGCTCAGGTAAGTGAGACATGGTAGGGGCAGCCTACAGATCAGGTAAGTGAGGCATGTTGGGGGGGAAGCCTACAGATTAGGTAAGTGAGGCATGGGGAGCAACCTATTCAGGTAAGTGAGGCATTGGGGTGGGGGGGAGAGGGCAGCCTAGTGAGGCATGGGGGTTAAATTTCAGGACTTCATATATGAAGTCAGAGTAGGAGAATATAGTCCCTAAAATGTATTTATTTTTTTTTATTTTTTTTAAAGTTCTATCTCTGCTGGATGTCCCATGTAGTCAGATTTACTATTCCCACATACACGGACTATGATACATTAGAGAAAAGGGAAAGGGTTAACTAGGTGCATTACTGCTGCCCACGGTGTGTGTTTGGGGCAGCACAAAACATACAAAATACACCGGGAAAAGGCAGTATACCCCTATATAATGTCCAACATGTCAAAAACCTGTTGTCTTGCTCCTAGACTGCAGCTGTGAGTCACAAGAAGCCTGTAGTCTTTCTAGTTATATCAAAAGTATATGCCCCGTGCCTCACTTGCCTCTCTTATCCTAGCCTTATAATATAATAACCATATCCTAGCCTTTGAAAAATGTCATATTGAACCTATTGCAGGGACCACATCCTGGGTGTTGCCAATGAATGAGAGGGCTGCTTGCTGTGAGTGTGTGTATTCAGCAGTGAGTGTGTGTATTCAGCAGTCTGTGCGTATATATTCAGCAGTGAGTAGATCTACTCAGCAGTCTGTGCGTGTATTCAGCAGTCTGTGCGTGTCTATGTGCAGCAGTCTGTGTGTATGTATTTAGCCATCTGCATGTGTGTATATTCAGCAGTCTGTGTGTGTGTGTGTATGTATGTATTCAGCAGTCTGTGTGTATTTAGCAGAAACACAGAGGGAATGGAGAAGAAGACAAAGAGAGGGTCTGGGAAGGGGACAATGACACACTGAGGGGCTGGGAAGGGGATAGGAACACACAGAGGGGCTGGAGTCAGTGGCGTATCCTGGTTTTGTGCTGCCCTAGGCAGGACAAAACTCAGGCGCCACCCCCACCCAACCTTTCCCCCCGCCCCACCTTCTAAATACACACACACACAAACACACACACACACACACAGTCAGACACAAACACACAATCACTCACATTAACACTTTTTTAATAATTATTATTTATCTCCCCCCCCCCCCGCCTCCTTACCTTTGGGAATGTTGGGGGGGAGGGGTCACTCTCTCCTTGGGGGTGCAAGGTGTGTGCAGTGGCGGGTGGGCGGCTGGCAGCTGGCGAGGGACTCTTTCTCTGAGCGGTCTGCTGAGCTCCCACGCGAGCCGCAGAGTGAGGCTGGGAGCCGGGTTGATGACGTCATATTCCGGCTCCCAGCCTCACTCTGCGGCGCATGAGGGAGCTGAGCAGACCGCTCAGAGGAAGAGCTCCCTCGCCAGCCGCCCGCCCAGCGCAGCCCAGCATGTCAGTTAGCCATGAGGCTAACTAGGCATTTGCCCTGGGCATTTGGGGGCAGCGTTGTTGCCGCCCCCTGGAAAATGCCGCCCAAGGCAAATGCCTTGTTTGCCTCGCGGCTAATACGTCCCTGGCTGGAGTAGACAATGAATCACAGAGGACCTGGGGATAGTGGAAGGGGTACACAGAGGGGCTGAGGAAGAGGCCAATGTCACAAACAGAGGGGCTGGGAAGGAGACAATGACACACACCTAGGGGCTGGGAAGGGGACAAGGACACACAGAGGGGCTGGCGAAGGGAACAATGATGCACAGAGGAGGTGGGGATGGGGACAATAACACACAAAGGAGCTGGGGAAAAGTAAGACTCAAAGGGGTGTAAGACACAAAGGGGAAAAATTGAGGATAAAGTAAACTAAGGGGGATAGATACACTAAGCGGGATAAGACATTCAAAAGATGGGATAAGAAACACAAAATGGGGGTTAAGAGAGACACAGGTGAAAATTTATTTTTTTCTAACATACTCTCTAATGGATGCTGAGTCTCCCTCTGTTAGAGCCCTCCATCCCTCCTCCAGGGCCCATTATTATTATTATTATTATTATTATTATTATTACTGGAATTTATAAGGTGTGGGAAGTGTTGTGGATGCAATCTGGTACTGTGGGCACTTACTGGTGATGTACCTAGTGCTGTGAGTGTCTCAAAGTACTGTGGCAACTGATGTGCATGCTACCTAGTGCTGTGCCAATGACTTTGTGTGCAGTTATTTTTACAATTCAGTTATAGTGCCTTGATCATGGGTATAGGACTAATGTGGTGAATTGTATAGTGTTAACAAAAAAACAGATTAATCACTCAAATCAGACAATGGCAACTTGATTCTTTTATTAAAGGACCACTATAGTGCCCTGAGGGTGCCCCCACCTTCAAGGACCCCCTCCCGCCGGGCTCTGGGGAGAGGAAAGGGGTTAAACTTACCTTTTCTCCAGCGCCGGGCGGGGAGCTCTCCTCCTCCTCTCCACCTCCGATCCTCCTCTTCGGCTGAATGCGCAGCAGGAGCTGTGCGCGCATTCAGCCGGTCTCATAGGAAAGCATTTACACTGTGATTTTCACAGTGAGAAGCACGCAAACGCCTCTAGCGGCTGTCAATGAGACAGCCACTAGAGGCTTTAGAGGCTGGATTAACCCTATTATAAACATAGCGGTTTTTCTGAAACTGCTTTGTTTATAAAAAAAAAAGGGTTAATCCTAGAGGGACCTGGCACCCAGACCACTTCATTAAGCTGAAGTGGTCTGGGTGCCTAGAGTGGTCCTTTAAGCTTTTGCATCAGGTTTCTCAAATCTATTACATGCCTGCACTTTATGTAATAATGACTATGCCCCTCCCCTGCATGACACTGTCACAAATGGGCAGATCATGAATGTCATTACAATTATGCCCCCCCTCCACCCTGTAAAATTTCCTGCAGATGCCCATGCATGTGATCCTCCCCTCGGCTGATGTCGGTGAAGGAGCGCGACCCAGTGACTTGGATTACTGTGCTAATCGATGGGACACTTTAACGTAAGAATACAAATATGTATTTGTAACACTAAAGTGTTCCTTGAATCTCTCTGACAGAGAGAGACTGTGTATCACTTCTCTCTCTTTTTTTTTTTTTTTTTCTACCTTTTCTGCAATACATACAACTTCCTGCATGCACACTAGTCTTACCTAGGTACTCCTGAAAAACAAGCCTTTCGAGCCCTTCCCATTATAAATTAACCCTAAAAATTGAACTTTCAGTGATTTCAAGCATTAGATTAGGTCTTAAGAAGATTGTTCCTGGTAATGTCTCTGGAAATGTGTTTTTGGTCCTAGTAGTTAGGACCATCCTCAGCTGAGATATTGTGGTTGCTGTAAACATCTGTATAACCAACATTTGTTGTTGGCCATGACACAAAGATGGCACTGTTGTTAAACCAAGTACAAAGTAGTTAAAAATGGAAAAATTAACAGTGGTCAATTAACCAGCTTTACAATTCTAGAACCATTCGAGATCGAATGACCCATTACGACGCTGGATTCATGTTACTTATGAAATATAGTGCTTTATCAGGACATGCAAATACCAGTTCTTTATTTGCGTTTTTTTTTAGAGAACTCTAGGTCATGTGTTGTCACTGATTTCCATGATGTAATGTAAAATATGATTACTCTAATCTGTGAATTCTTCATGTTGACATATCTGATTTGTTGAATAAAAACCTTCTGAAATCCGGGTTTCCTCGGGTTGCTCATATCGGCTAAACATATGCCGTTAACCCCATGTACATTGTGTGATTTAAAATATACACTGCTGAATGCAATGGTCTTTATTTGTGTGTCAAATTGTAAAAACTGAATATTGTCTATACTTATTTGTGAGTAACCTGAATTGTTGTATACTACTTTGCTAAAACTCTAAGAAAATGACAGCTAGGAAATTTATAACACTCTTAATATTTTTTTATTTTTTCAGAGTTAGCTGCTTTGTTTGGCTTGTTATACATATATGGAAGACATACGTATTTTTACGGCTACGTGGAGTCAGCCAAAGGAAGGCAAGTATCCCTCTGTGACTAAGAAACCCATGGAGCTATTTTGGGAATCCTGTTATGAGGGGTAGTATGATGCACCAAATATTAGCCTTGGTCCCCAATGCTCCGCAGCCTATTTTAGTGAGGGAGGTGGTCTTTCTCCATACTTGATTTCTGACCATATAGTTGTAATGAATAAATTAAATGCTGTAGCTCATTAGTATGAAGTGTCGGGCCAAACACTGGCCATGTACCAACCCAAGGACCATGACAGAGCTTCCTCTGCCAAGCAGAACAAGATTAATGGGGTCCAAAGGACTATGACAGGGTTGCTGGTGGGCCCATCTAGGCAGTTGGCCATCTCACATTATCACAAATGATGTGAATGATAAATTATTGACAATATTTCAACATTCGAAACTCTGTAAGAATAAACAAACAAACATACCAGGTATTTGAAGGCTTTAAGAGAACTATTGGTTCTACATTTGGGACACTTGTTTTGCCTTACTTCCATAAACGCTATTGAACTAGTTAACAGGTGAGGTATACAAATAGAAGTGCCCCCTTTGCATGTCTATATAGTAGCTGCCATCATGTCTCCAGGACACAATTCTAACCCAGCGCACACATGACAAGATGGGATATCCCAAATACATCACATGCCAAACTGTGCCAGAACTGCCTAATTTCAGTGTAAGTCCACTAAAAAAAACTATTTGAGCGCAGATAGTTCAGAGTTGTAGCAAAATGAAATCCAAACTGCATACATGCTATAGCTACACCTAGTCTGTTTAGTCTAAATTTAGCAATCTGAAATGTAATTTGGGAATTCAGTGAATAACCTTTTAATTATTGTGAGCAATATGGAACAGATGCACTTTCAGATGATTATTTTTTTTCTTTTAAATCCTCAAACCTAATATGGAAGATGGCACTCATGACCAAACTTTTCTGTGTAAAATTGGGATAAAAGGAGGGAATGTTTGTGCTATAATGGAAGTTGACTATACAGAGAAGGTAAAACAAAAACACTTTTTTCACTAAACCTCACACCAAAACCAGAAATGAATAGGAACGAAAGGTTTTTATTGGTATACTGCGTGGCCAAATTATATCATGGCAGCTGATATTAAAATATTTTTACAATTTTTTTTTTTTTATAATTCTTTATTTTTGTTGTGCATGAGACAAACAATAAATCGGTAACCATGGCATTGTGTAGTGACAAGAGAAGTATTCACTATTTCAACATAAACATCTTTAGCAATCTGCACAAATATAAATATAGTGATAATATGGATTTTACTTTTTAAGCTTGGAATTCTCTTCTGGTAAATGTGAAAGTTACAAAATTCCCTTTTATCACTGATAGTTGATTTTTAAAGGGCCTATTTTTAATTGTAGCCCACTCCAGCTGAGCTATCAAGGGTTAACCATAACCAATAGCGGAACTACCACGGACGCGATGGTCGACAGGGGCGGCCAGCCCCCTAGATTGACCTATCGACCCCTGCGTCCGCAGGCTGCCACAAGGTGTCCCAAGAGGAATTGTGACGGGTGCCCCCAGACTGGGGGGAGATGAGGCAGGAACCTGGCACCACGAAAGGCTGATCTTGCAATTTCTCACTCCTCCCTCGTGTACCCTCTGTAATGCCGGCAGCCAGAATTATGTAATTCCAGCCCCGGAATACTAAACGGCAAACAGGAGGAGTGAGGAACTGCCCCACACTTGACCCACACTGGGGTTTGGAGAGACACAAGGAAGAGCTGAGGGTGGCAGAGACACATGGATGCCTGGGAGGGAAGAGACACATAGAGGGGCGGTGGGAGAAATACATGGGAGTCTGGGAGGAGACATGGGGAGGGGCTAGGCGGGAGAATGAGACATGGGGAGGGGCTAGGGGGAGAATGAGACACATGGGAAGGCCCGGTTGTTTCTAGTTGCACCTCTGACCATAACTGCTATAGATTATCTTCAATAGAATATAAGCAAAACACTGACCTTTTATAGCAGATGTTAATCTGCTTGCAGCTTTGCACTGCTTACATTTTTTTTTTTTTTTTTATACAAATCTAAACAATATCAATCTTCTTGGAAAATAAATAATTGCTCATTTATTTTATGATGTATTTTTAAACCTAATAAAGAAAAAAAACCTAAAAAAAAAAACCTGTAAAACTAATCTGTATCTTATTTTCTTCAGGTTGAAAGGATTTTCGGTGTGTAAAACGTCACTGATTTTACTACTGGTTCTGGCGTTAACTGGGATTACAAACAGTCTCTTTCACAAATATTTTCACCTGAACCTACTGAAAAAACTATTCTAAGAATAAGGCAACCGAACAAATGACTGTCTACATTTAATTCTCTTCCAATATACGTTTTAATTTTCCTTTATCAATATTTGTGGTCATATACCATTATTAAGTAATTTGTATTAGTAATGTATTTTTATAAATGGACATTGTTGTAAAACAAATATGCAGAGATGGTTGTTTGGAATTCAAGTTTAGGATAAACTAGCGGAACTATAACACATTGTTCAATTAGCCTATTTTGGCCTAAAATTCTAAATTCATGACAACTCACAATTTATTTTATAAAGTAGAGCAATGAAGGCTAAGCAGCAGCAGGAGAGAGAAACCCAACACCAGAGCCTGCTCTGCATTAACGACACGGATCAAAATCCCTCTCTTCTCCCCCATCAGGATGTTGCAAGGTGAAGAGATCTTCCAACTGCTCCTGTCACATGTCCAATGCACTTTTCCAGCATTCTTAGAGATAGGACACTGAATCGTTAGGGATGTGAAAAGCAAAGAATGAAGAAGAAGGCAAATATGTATTTTTTTTTTCTCTAAATTTACCTGCATTTTTTTTCTGCCTGCAGAGTGAGGCAACAGTATCATTAAAAGTTAAAGATTAAGTTATCATGTCCCTTTAAAATGCAGTTGGTTAAAATTAACCTCAGTAGAGCAGTAGTGAAGGAAAAACATTCTTTCGGAGGTCATATTTTAATTAAGTACCAAGCAGTTTGTTACATACTTATACATACAAATTAAAAATGTACCGTTGCATGTTCCCTACATGAGCCATTTGGTTTCTTGCCATCACAACTCATGCTTCGGTTTATAAAGCTATGTTTCGAATGCTCACCTGCATGTTGACCTGAGAATTTGTCAGAATTGCTGTGCCCAAAGCAGCTTTTGAAATAAGAAAATCATGTGCAATAGGACATTTTACATTTATTATATATAGAATTTTTATATCTAGTAGGACTGATTTGTATTTTTAAGTGTGTATCATAAACCTCCATGCTATACATGTATTCCTAAGGACATCGTAGGGCAGCACACATGCAATAATGAACCCTAAGTGCTTCTTATTCGTACAAAATAATGATAAATACTCTGGTGCTTTTCTTTCTTTTTCCCTTATCATGAACAAGAAGCAGACCCCGGGTCAGTGGATGAGTAGCTGAATGGAGCTTTTCTTATTTCCTACTTTTGTATATTGTCTCACATTTTATCTAAGGTTACATGCATTTACCATGTTTGTTGTTGTTTTTTTTACTTTGAAAAGCAAACAATGTATTTATTACACTATAATAAATATTTAGTGGATGGTTTCTGATCCTCTTTATCATCTCTTTAGTAATATGCAGTAAAATATGTAGGCAGGATTTAGGTAGGAGTGATAGAGGGCTAGAGGCTTTTTTTTTTTTTGCAACAGTTGCCACAATGTGGGCCCTTAGATATTAACATGTTGATATCTCTGGTATACCACTTCATCAGTGGCGTACTAAATGGGGGGGGTGCGCCCCGGGTGCCAGCAGGGTGGGGGGTGCCATGACCAGGGGCGCTGGCCCCCCTCCTGCTGCAGCTGCCCGAGCGCTCTGCAGAGAGCCTCGGGCGGCTGCAGCTTTGCCCACCCGGGCGCAGCATGGGGAGAGGGGCTGACAGGAGGGAAGCGCTCAGCGCTCC